TATGACTAAGTGCATGTTGTTTAACTTACCGGTGCAATAAATTTACCCGAACCCCAATAACAAGTATCGAATTACCGTCACTAACATACATGTATACATAGTCTAAAAAGACCCGGGACTTTTTTGAAATTCGTTTTTTTTTAATTATCTCATCAATTACTCTATTTATTTTCGAACTTGAATTTAATATTTTGAAAAACTCGACAAAAAGTATTGTTTGAAGGGACTTTACACTGAAAGAAAAAATGGTTAAATTAACCAATAAATGGTTAAATCAACACTTTTTGCACATTCAATATAAACAATGTTTACTTGGAGTTAAAAGAACCATTCATGAATGTTAAAATATAAATGTTGTTTTAACAAATTAAAATTTTAACCTTTTTTTGGTCCAACCACTAAAAATATTAAAATAAATACACGGCTTATTAAAATAATATTATTATAATATTTAATCAAATTATTAATTTTTTCTACTCCTACCTTTAAAACGCCCTTTATCGTACATGTTTCCATGACACTAAGTGACCTTTTAAATACATATTGACAAGTTGTGGCTTTATGGCGCTTTAGTCACGGGCTGAAGTTAGTTTTAAGTTAGTTGACAGTTGTCAAATGTCATACAATCGTTAAAATAAATTGCCTTTCTTGTAAAAAGTACTAAATGTAAAAATTATTTTATTATTAAAAATACAAAAGTATTAAATAGTTTCTCAACGCCAATATTTGAAAAGTTTATATGAACATTGTACGTACAGTACTGACCTTTTAAATTCGCCGGCAGTAAACTATAACTTAAATTCGGGCACGGACTTCACTGTAAAGTGCTCATAACACATTTTCTTAACTGTAAAAAACTGTCAATTTTCAAGAAATACAATTCGATTTATAACCTTTATAATGTGTGTTTATAAAATATAAAAATTTGACGGTGACACACAGATTCCCCTATTGTTTCATAGATGGCGCTATATACAAATTTTTGATTTAAATCATTTTAAGATAATAATAAGTATTTGTCGTAGAAAAAGTATAGTATGCACCTCGTTTATAAACTTTTCTATACACTCATTAATTTAAGCACTCGCTCGCAAGCTCGCTCGTGCCTAAATTAAATTCGTGTATAAAATGGCGTTTATCAAACTTGATAAATAATACACAATTAGTAGTGAAATAATAAATAAACATTGAAGCAGTTTTAATCCTTAAAATTACTTGTATTAATAAATTTAAAGGTTAAAAATATGAATTGTTACTTAAATCAAATAATTAAAATATTGATTCAAAAAATTGTACTTAAAATAGAATGTTTTATTTAAAATATTGGATAATTAAACCAAAAATAAAAGTATGTAAATGTAACTATGTGGAAAGTTTGAATAAAATATTAAATTTATTTAAAAAAAAAATTATTAGATAAATACAAATTCATTTGAACACAAAATAAAACATAATAGATTTAATTTTTTTTTTACTTTTTAATATTTTTTATTATTGTATCGAAAATTTAATTAAAATTAAAAAAATATGATTTAAATAAAAAAAATCCGATTTTTTATTTTTTTTTAAATCATGATTTTTTTTAACAACAAACAAAGTTTAATTGAATACGTATACACTACTTAAATACTTATACAATACTTGAATATATATATATACATATTCAAGTATTGTATAAGTATTTAAGTAGTGTATTAAACTTTTGTTTGTTGTTGTTTGTGTATACACTACTTAACCGAAATAGTTTTTTTGTATTTCTCTTATTTCTTTAAAAACCTTATTCGATTTGAATTAAGTCGGCGTTTATATTTAGATGCTTTTATTTATCGATATCTTGTCCTACAATAAAGTTTATTTTATGGTAAAATAATATTAGAATTTACAAAAAACATTAATTAGGTTGGCAAATCACCATTTGTCTAATAACGATTCCATTGCTATAAAAGTTAATTATGAAACACTTGTAGGTAGGTAATAATCATGTCACAAGCATGGTAATGCGAGAAAATATTACTATAAACTTAGCTTCGTCCTCAATTATTACAAAACAATAATATTAAATATATTAGAGGCATTCTGTACTGTAAAATAAAAAATATATTAAAAAAATCACACTTACCAGGTTTTTTCAATGTAATATTGTACCAAAACGACACTAGAACGAACAATGGCGTGGTGGCAAAGATAGAGAAAGATAAGGCGCTATATAACGACTTAATATACACTCGGTTGAATTATCTTTATATTAAAGTAATCGGATAAAAATGTCAACAAAATATCTTGCAATTTTAGAATAATTACTAAGATATGTTGACTCAATATTCTAAGTTTGTAAAGGCAAAACACAAAAGAACATCGCTTCAATAATTTTAAATATTCGTTTAATTTTTGTGTGTGCTTTCATTTACTACATACACTAATAGAAAAATGATTTAATCAAATTTCTTAACAATATTTATTCAATATACGTTTAGTGTTTAAATAAAATGGACTATCAAAACAACGTTTTTAATTTGAGATTCTCAAAATTTTAATTGAAAGTAAAATTTAAGTTTATGTCAACAAACGGCATAGCATTTTGATTTAACAAATTCATTTCTCTCAGTGTATGATTATTATAATAGGCGCTGAGGGTGAAGTCTTGGTCATATATGCTATAGCACAATCCGTTCAATTTTGGTTGTGTTTTATGGATCAGACTCTTTGAACTCATTGTTGGGCTTGGACGGCATTTTTTCCATCAAAAAACAATCAAACATTATTTTTATTATTTATGATAAAGCAAAAGTATCACGATAACGGTCGAAATGTCATGACATTTGATATGTTACCTTTCGAAGTTTTGCTCTTTCAATGTATACTTACGTTGTAAACAATTTTTAATTATTTACACTGGTCGTTAATATATAAAACTTTTTAACCAGTTTCAAATATATTTGGTAAAATATAACTTGTTGGTTAAAAAAATATATCCAAATTTACTAAAGCTGTGGTTAATTTACCAAAAGTTAAACTAAACCAAAATATATTTAAACAAATATCTAGTCTTAACCATTTTCAAAGGTTAAAACTAGAAGTCAATATAACGTTTTGTAACTTTTAAAATAACCTACTTTTAGTAATATTACCAATGGTTCTTTTAGCAGATAAATTATACTAAAAAATAACCTTAAGGTTATAGCAATCAGTTGGTAAATTTAAAGGGATATTTTTTAGTTCATAGTAACCTTTAAAAAATGTTTATGGTTAAATACAACTAATTGAATATAAAATAAGTTATTTTACTTGGATTTTGTTTAATTTACTGAGAATGCTATTTTGCCAAGGCAAAATGCCTAATGACCAGTGTTATCCAAGTATTTTTGTTTATACAAAATGCATTATTTAAACTATGTACCTACCTTTATAATAAAATCAAACTTTGTAAAATGTAAAAGGATAATGACGTACCTGACATTTGGTATTTCTATCGGAAGACCTTCGTAAAGGCGTTCTATGTATACTCAATCTTGTTCTATGAAATATTTTATTATTAATTGTCTCATCAATATAAAATATTCCAAAAAATCCAGTAAAATGGGTTATTTTAAATTTCTTGTACATTTGCTGTCCCTCAACTAATATTTTATAAAAAATTGAGTTTAACGCCATTTGGAACTTTCCCCAACAGTACAGAAAAGTAGCTGTCCCACTTGCAATAATATTCCTACCTAATGCTATTTAAACATCCTCCTTTTTTTATATAGTTGAAAATATATTCCAAATATTACTGAATAAGCCCATTTGTGGTAATATTTAAAAATACAAGTGGTTAAAATAACCCCTTAAGTTTGTCCCTTAATTTTGGTCTACTGGGTCACAGCTTTTATAAATGACCTTTTGAATTGAGCGCACATCTTTTGGTGCTGCTCCCTTGCGGCAATGTATTTGGTAACGGATTTTAGTAGGAAATGGTGTTTTGAAGCATCTTGAAGCCACAACATGTTTTTTTGTATTTTTTATACCAGCGTGGCAAAACTGTGCATTTTCCTGTGTCACAGTAATAAAAAGTAGTAAAGGACTTTGTTTGATTCTCAAAAGTAAGTATCCTACTTGTGGTTTTAGGGTCAAAAATACAAATTTTTATCTTTAAAACAGTAAAGAGGTTATGTTATAAAAACATACATTTTTCCCCTGGGTCACACGTCTCCTGGATCACATATTGTGTGACCCAGGGGAAAGTTATTTGACCCAGGGGACAATTCCAAAGAAATACATTATAATATATTTTTGAATAGTAATAAACTTATAGGAAAGTTTTAAAAACATTTTTTTGACCTTCCACTATTTCTGTTTACCTGACAGTACGTAGTTAATTTAAAATACCTTTTTAATAGTAATTTTCCTGGTCAATGTATTTTGCCTCAAAGAAGCTGGACAATGTTTAACTTATTATTATTATTTTATTAGTAACAATTTTTATTAATTTATTGCTCGTTAAATTGGACAAGCTGGGCCCAGTTAAAAAATCGAAAAAAAACTATTTTAATGGACATTTTTAAATACAGAAAATATATTAAAAATACTTAACTATGTAAGAAAGTTGAGAAATAGAACATTGTTTTTGCTTATACTTAGTTTTGTACTCAACATTTTTATATAAATATTAAATTTATGTTCTTTTTTTAAACAAATCCTAGTGTAAATAAAACCTTAAAAGGAAAATATATTTTCAAGATGATTAAGCAAGTTTTTTTAATATGTTAGTAAATTTGTGACCCAGGGGACCATTTTTTTTCTTTTTTCAGTGTTTATTTAAAAAAATCCAACTGCCCACTTTTAGGTGTTAAATAACACCCCTAAATAAACTAAATTTGAAAAAAAAAACATGTTTGTAGATTAAGTTTTTGTTTTTACTCTTTCTTTTTTAAATGTACAGGAATTTTGAAAATGACCCAAATATTTGTTCCGTCGGCAAATGAATTTCAAACAGTACCTAACGAAATTTGAATTTGTTCCAGGTCAGATGAAGACGACCCAAGTGGGAGTAAGTACACCAGAATGGAGGACGATAGTATTCAGGATAAGGAAAGGTTTGCAAGGTAACTATCAAATCTGCGAAATTTTCGGGAGACTCATTTGATCGGCTGGACCCAATTTTGTATAATCGTTAAAGTTAATTTCGATCGTATCTTTACGTTTATAAAATTCATAATCTACATTTAAAAATGTTCCGTAACAGTTTAATTATCTCGAGGTTATAAGATCAACTAAAAAAAGTAAGAGGCAAGTCTCTCAGGACCTTTTGAACTTTACCGTAATATATGATATAAGAAATGAACTAGAAAAACCGAGTCTAGCGTGGCCCCTAAATATAAATGCCTATTTATTAAATACCTGCCAATTGGGTTCATTATTTTGATTTATTAGGCAGGTACACGGGGAATTTTTTTTAAATTTTGTTTTTGTTGCTATATTTCTGTGTAACTATAAACTTTTTTGTTGGAATGGCATTCGTAAATATTGTAAATCATTTGATGGTAGAAAGTAATCCGTCGTGTCATGACAGCCCCAATGAGCGTCCATCTCAGGTCATCAGCTTTATTGTCATCTAAGTTCGTTGCGTATCCAGGGCGAAGTTATGGTGCATTCGAGGCGAGATACCTATGTAAATTAAAAAAAAAAATGAAATGCATACGACGTAGAGTTTGGCGAAGGCAGTAGAGCACCACCGTGGAGAAGAAGAAGTGGACGTAAGCACGAGGAGAGTAGTGAGTCGCATTAAAAGGGAGCAGCTAGCATCGTGTTCCCGAGCAATCGTGACTAGCCGCGGGGAGCAGATTGTATAGCGAACAGAACAGCGTAGACCACAAAGTTCCCACGCTGCCGAGCCTCGGTGCTTCTCCGCCCTCATTCCACCAGCAAACTCTCTTCTTCTTGGTCTTCTTATTCTCCTTAAAACTCTGCCGATCTGCTCTGCTTCGCGTTTATTTTAATCTACATACCGAACTTATGGCACCGAAATAGCGCCTCCTACTCAGTAGGGTTAGGGGGTCACAATAACCAAAAAAATCTTCAAACGAAACTACAACATTTTATAAAATACATTTATTAAGTTGAATCACGCTGCACCGCTTAATATAAATATTATAATATGATTCACAAGAATTTCATACACACATATTAGTATAATCGTCTTTTAATTATAGCTTTATATTATAATTAGTAACATTGTATTAATAACCGATTATTTCATTTCAATAAAATGTTTATAGTTTAGAAACTAACACACTGAAAAAAAAGATTATAATTATTAACCCGCGTCATAAAATTCCAGTTGCGCAACACCACTAAAAAAAAAAAATGTGGAGGCGCCTGGTATCGATCCCGGTACCTCTCGCATGCTAAGCGGGCGCCCTACCATCTGAGCTATGTACGCTGCCCATTTCAATTCTTAATGTAACTACTCTCTAAAAGTAAAACAGTGAAATTTTCACTATTTCCGTCTGAGTTATTATTCACTGTAAAATTGGTGTTTTTCAATATAAATTAGTGAAATTTTAACTTCTCCAAATTAGTGTTTTTTATTATCACTACTTTTCCGGAACTCTCGACATAAAATAGTGAAATTTTAACTTTTTTGAACTAAACCTATTTCACTAATTTGTACAGTGTAATTTCCACTAAATAAATTTGTGCAAAGAAATCGCTACATAAAAAAGTGAGTATTCACTAATTGCTAGTGGTATACATACATCACTGCGGCAAATAGTTAATATGCACTGTCAATCAGTGAAAATCCACTGTTTCATTTTTAGAGAGTAAAATTAAGGGAAGACAGTAATTGTAGGAAAAAACCAATGTGTGTTTTTGACAATAATTTTTAGCATCTTTTTTCTCAGTGTTTATAGTTTAGAAACTAACACACTGAAAAAAAATAGGAAGACCGTAATTGTAGGAAAAATGTTTTTGACAATATTTTTTAGCATCCTTTTTTCTCAGCGTACAGACGACGGGCTGATAAATATTTTAGTGGATTTTGGTCGTAACTCCACGATAATTTCCTTATTTAAATATAGATAGCGGGAAGTATATGATGTTGAAAATTCGATTTGGTCAGTCGTTACGTTTCGATTCGGAAAGGAAAACTATCACGGAATAGTGACGTTTTACGAGTGCGAGTGGGGGATGAATTTCCTCAGAATCGATGTGATGGACAATCCTGTAGAAGGGGTCATCAAGTGGAAAGACTTGTATTTGTGTCCTTTTATTTGATCTGACTTGGCGTTTTCTTCTTTGCTATAAATAATTTAATTATCTCCGAATGCAGGTACACTAATCATAGATGCTTATTTATTCCTCTCAAATACTCAAATGAGATGTAAAACTTTTAATTGAAAATTACAGATTTAATAGTTGTTGTGATTGTGGTTAAATTGTCTTGTATCTGGAGTTGTGCATCTGAATTTGATTAAAAGTTCGGCTGGCCGGCCGTAAAACTGAGTGTAATACACTCAGTGTATCAGGGTGGACGAAGGAATTGTTTTGGTCGAGCTGCCTAATATAATCTCAATTACGACCACCATTAAGTTATCTTTGTTGAAATGCAACAAACTCACGTCCACAACTCTCGGATAATGATTGTTATTTCGCTTCTCCTCAATTATTGATTATTTACCGCAATTTTTGCTTGACGTTCTTCTCGACTTCTTTGTCTTTTGCAAAGTTGAACATGATATCTCTCCTCGGCAAATCGCAATTTAATAGTAATGAATTGAACTGATAGCATATCGGGAATTTCTACAAGTGGTCGGCTTAATGGTGGAAAGTTGCCAAAATTGATTACCTCCTTCGCAAATTGCTTCTACGAGATCGGTTTCTCAGGGACTAAGGACGATAATAACTTTGAGCATTAATAATTACACTGCATTTGGAAAATATTTGGTGCAAGTACCTACGTATTATTTTTTTTAACCGCATATAATGTGTGTGTAATTATTTTTTGAGGGCAACGCATTTTGGGCATACCTACCGATGGGACGGGAAAGAAAATTGATAGGGGCCAATTATGTATATACCTAGTCAGTCGCTCTAAACGTTGTCTGTTGTCCGTAGTTTCTCAGAGCGTAATCACATTAAATAACCCGTAATTATTGATATGAAATAAAAAAGCAATAATTATGATTATGAACAAAACGAACCGAAATAAAAGGAAAGGTAAGCGGTCGTTTCTCGAAAGAGATGTTGAAATATCATTGGCAAATCAATTGTTGTCCAGCTGGTCTCGTGTCAAATCGCGAACGGCGATTATTGTATTGAGAGTCTTCCGAATAAAATTCTCTAATTAACCGTATGACCGGTTGAAACATGCCCAGACAAAAAAAAATGTAATTACCGATGGCTTTTCTTAAAACTTACTGTAGGGAGAACCATTGCGAAATCGAGCGGCGGAGACGCAACAAGATGACAGCTTACATCACCGAACTGTCAGACATGGTTCCCACCTGTAGTGCTTTAGCTAGAAAACCTGACAAGCTCACCATTCTACGGATGGCTGTGGCGCATATGAAAGCGCTAAGAGGTTTGTATTCGACTTTTTTTTTCATCAAATCCTACATTTTAATTCATTAAAATACATTGCACGCCAACGACACCATCAATCATCAATCAGAGATATTAACTGAACTGAATGCGTTTAATTAATCTTTCTCCTCAACTTAACTAACAAGCAATATAAAAGTGTTCTTGGAACAATTAACACACATTTTATTGTTTCCACCGATGGAAAACAATTATATTAATTTGTATAAGAAGTTATAGCAATATTTTTGATGCCCTATTATTGGTAATTTTTGTGAATTCAGCTTAATTGCGACCTTGTATATGTTTATATGTTACTAGAAAAATAAACATGTTTAGAAGCAATAAACTAATATTGACCAAGTCGTTTAATTAATATTAGGGCGATTCAAAAAATCCACTATTCTATTTTAAGACTTATGATATTAAAAAATTGGTTGCTGGGCACCTCAAAAGAAGACTATCTACGTATGAGCTCTTACTAATAAGTATAAGATTCAAGTAAAAATAATGTATAACTAGATAAAAAAACAAACACTGTTTTTTGAGTTTCAGGATTTTTTTTTCATTTAATTTGAATGAAACAATTGTCAAATTAAATTAAAATGAATTCGTGAAACTCAAAATACAGTGTTTTTTACCTAGTTATACATTACCCAAGCAGCATTTTAAGTTTAAATAACTACAAATTTACTACTAAGTTTTATAACGGTATAGATACGAAAAATTACCAAATTTGGGGAATGGTTTATTTCGTTATGTACATAATAACCTTTTATTTCGTTATGTACATAATAACCTTTTTGATCTACTAAGAGAATAACGTAATAAAAACAATATAAATACCACAAATTTACGTAAAAATAACACTATAATTACTAAAACATTGACATTCGTAATTTCTTTGTTCTTTTAATTTATATTTTACAAAATGGTACTTACAAAGTAATAAAGGCCACCCTAAAGTAAAATTAAAAAATATAACTTAAATTGTCAAAACTAATAATATTTTGCTTTAAAACTCAAAGGCGCATTATTTTATTGATAAAAATAGGCACGATAAATCTTAAAAATTATATGCCCTCTAAATATTTTACGGTTTTAAGAAAAATTATTGCTTGTGTAAAAATTCAACAAAACTTAAAACCTACAAAATTTTATAAAATCTTTTAAAAATTATTCAGTTTTAATCATTTTTTAATAACTTTCCTTATTATATTTTAGAAAAATATTTATGAAAAAATATTATATAAATATTTAGGTAAGTAATGGATGCCATCTTAAAAAACTCATTATTGCGACCTGAAAAAATTTTTTCCTTAAAGTTTTATTTTTCACTTTAAGCTTATTTTTTCTTGTTTAGTCAATATTAATAGTATTTATTACCACTAATAACCATAAAAATACCAGGCGAATAGAAATTATTTACGGTTATAAAGTGGTCTTAATATCGTAAAATTATGACTTATGAGTAACATTTACCATTAAGTAAAAATTCTGACGTTAAAATTACCGTTAAATTTTCCTTTAGGTGAAATACACTTATGAGTAATTTTCTTTCGTAAAAATTACGTCCCGCATAAAGTGTTGAAACTTAAGGGTTATTAAAATAGGTAAAAATAACATAAATAAAACTTATTAAATAACTTTTAAAAAAGTTTTACTTCAATTTATCTTAAATCAAAGTTTGAAAACTTATGAAATAAAAATATTTTTTTTCAAAATGTTAACTTGGTAAATGGTTGTTTTTTCGATAAATGTAAATTTATATATTTTGAATGGCTGAACACAAAATTCTTTTTTGTAGAGCATTCAATTCCGTATCAAAATGTTTTTTGTTAGAGAGATGTAAAGTTTTTTATGGGATAATGTAAAAATTAGAAATTGCGATGAGAAGGATCTTATATCACCTCAAAAATGGTAATGTTGATTATTGCAACTAAATAACTAAATAAAAATAATAGTCTATTGTGCCACATCGGGTTTTAAAGTGTCTTAAAAAAATGAAAAAATTATGAAAAAAACCTGTTTTTTCGTTTTTTCCCAGGTATTGAAAAAATCTTTTTTTTTTAAATGATTTCTTTTTGAAAATATACAAAAATAAAACCTAAATATTGAATTAAAAAGGAGTTCATTTAAAACATCCAATAACAAAATAATGAATGATTTATAAAGGTAAATTACAAAATTATAATTTTATAAATCGAAGTCAAATAAAACGAAAGTTATGTTAATACAGCACCAAATATTTTTTTTTGCGGCCCGGTAGAAAATTACTGAATTAAAATAAAAGGAATAATTATTATAATCATAATAAATATCATGATTATAATCAGTATCGTAAATTCACTTTTTTCTCGATATTAGTGTACGGATGACATCTGTAAAAATTTGGAAATTAAAAAAAATATATATTGACTTTTGCATTTTGAAAATTTCCCAATCTTTTCCGTTTTTTTGCCGGCTCAATTTTTCCGGAAATTTTAAAACCCTTAAGTCGGTTTCATATAGATGCGAATTACGAATATTCGCATTTCGCAACTCCTATTTCATATAGATGCCAACTATTTTAGGGACATTGTTTTCTAACTAGGCGATATTTTTCATGCTATTTTAGGTACTGAAATTGTATAGTTACTTAAAGTGACTATAAAGGTAAAATAAGAAACATTAATGTACCTTAAAAAACTCTTTGTCCATTATAAAAAAAAACTTATTTAAACAATACAAACAAAATAAACACTACGATACAAACAAATAAACATAAATGGCGTTTGTATGAAATGCAATTGCATTAATGCGAAACGCATGCGCATGACGCCAAATTAGTGCGATTTTCGCAAAATATTGGATCAATCTCAATCTTGCGAATTCGCAGGACCTGTCGAAACGCTTTTCCCGCCTAATCAAATGGACCAATGGGAGCATTTTTCGCATTTCGCAATTGGCATTTCGCATCTATATGAAACGAGCTTTAGTGTGACATTACTACACTCACAGGCAAAATAATCGATCCACACAAATTTTCGATGAATTTCAATCGCAAATAATTTTTTTATTTGATGTCGGATTTAAACGAATATTAAAGAATATTGTAGATAAATTAATGGACAATCGTTCACATTTTAAAAAATTACTAAAAAATAGACGTACGTTTATAATATACAGGTTTAAACAAAAATATGTTTTTTACCATAAGTTTAAGACACTCTGTAGAGTGGCAAGACCGTTTATTGTTCTAAATTAACTTTTATTTATCAAGTCACATCTATTCTTAACAGTTTTGTTTTTGGTTCACCTCGATATATTTATTTTTGTGGAAAATATGGATTTTTTATAAAAACATTGCAATTTCCAATATTTTTCCTGTATGAAGAACTAAGGTTGCTATGGTCCTTCCATAGCCTATGGAGGATGACAGTGACAGTTTTGTTGAATCATCCCATACTTGGACATGTCATAAACGGCTTTCAAAAGCTATCAAATTGTATTTTGCAAATTAATGTTTAAATTTTGAGGTGTCTTCTTACTTTAAAAAATGGATATGGCTCCGACTGATGTTGCCAGAGCCATTAATTTAATCCAGGATGGACGGTCACAGTATTACGTGGCAAGTGTTTTAAACGTCACAAGAAGTAAAGTACAAAGGGCAACATCAGTCGGAGACATTTTTAAAAGTAAGAAGACACCTCAAAATTAACACATTAATTAAAAAAAAATTGATACCTTTTGAAAGCTGTACATGACATGTCTAAGTATGGGATGATTCAACAAAACTGTCACTGTCATCCTCCATAGGCTATGGAAGGACCATAGCAACCTTAGTTCTTCATACAGGAAAAATATTGGAAATTGCAATGTTTTTTTAAAAAAATTCATATTTTCCACAAAAAAAAACAAAACTGTTAAAAATAGATGTGACTTGATAATTAAAACTTAATTTAGAACAATATACGGTTTTGCCACTCTACAGAGTGTCTTAAACTTAAGGTAAAAAACATCTTTTTGTTTAAACCTGTATATTATAAACGTTCGTGTATTTTTTTAGTAATTTTTAAAATGTGAGCGATTCTCCACTAATGTACCTACAGTATTCTTTAATATCTGTTTAAATCCGAAATCAAATAAAAAAGTTATTTGCGATTGAAATTCATCGAAAATTTGTGTGGATCGATTATTTTGCCTGTGAGTGTATTAAAAATATTACAAAATATCAATATTTTTGGTAAAACTTTAAAAACGTTACAAATCATTTTTAACGCTGTTGTGTTAATAAAATCAGAATTTTTTTGGCAACACAAAAAATACGTGTCGTTTTGTTTAGTATTATAATGCAAAAAGAAGTTTATTATAAACGTGTAGATTGGTACATACAAATCGACCCTACGCTGCGTTTTGGTCCATATTAAAGACGATGAATAAGCGAGGTACTGCGGATGGCTGTTGGGCCGTCGCCCGTCTGCCCCGTGGTTAGTTATCGTTCCATTCTTGCAGAGTATTGCATCTGTGACTTCTGACCTTCGTTAAATATGAAAATTTTTTCGTTCGTTTTGGTTTTGTTCTCGTTGCAGTGTTTTTGCCGTATCTATGCTCGGCCGGTTCGGTTCTGCGAGCAATGCATAAGATGTGTTGTAACGGTGGTCTGGCGTTATATACCGTGGCCAAGTCGATGGTATCTTTGCGTTAGTTATGGGCCAAAGAATGCCTACTCCTCGCCAACCAGGATTAATGCCCTTATTATTTAAAACCCATTTCCTACAAACTGAACCAATCGCTTTCAATGATCTTTGACCCTTGTTCTCTCTGGAGCAAATGGAGTTCGGAGATGCTAATTGTAATGGGAGTTTGCATTTTTTTTCACATTATATTTCTTTAACTTCTGTTTGAAAACATTTACGTTATTTCTCACTTTCGTTATAGGTAATTATTTTTATTTAGTTGGCCTTTTAAATTAACCTAGTAATTAATTTGAAATTGACGTCAGCAGTTATAAAAATAATCATAATAATTTAGTTTGGCAGGTTTTTCCAACATCTAGTTTTTGGAACAATTTATTACAATACATAAAGTTAATTTTTTTTATCTGGACTGCGGCAACGTTGCAAATATAGGGTTTTGGTTGGTAAATACAGTTGTCAAGTTGGTCGCATTGATTCAAACAAACTAAGCTAGTTATAAATCTAATTGTGGTTATGTATAAATTATTGTAGGTTACATTGTGCAGTTGTCAAGTTGAGTTGTCGAAATTCGTAGTTAAAAATGCAATTAATTTGGCTTTGGTGGTGCTTGGATGAGTAAAATCATATAAAAAAAAGTGGTTAAATATAGGTTGCTTTACGGCCCAGAAGAGAAAGTATTCCTAGCGGATAATAGAATTTATATAAAAGAAATTAAATTTTTTTGTGAACGTAAATGTTGTCCAATGGTGAATAATGTGAAAATAATGTGCGATGTAATATTTATAAAACCAAATTCGTTACTTTTTTACTCCAAAAATGTCCATAAGGCGATGTACTTTTTCTTCCATTGTGGCATTTGGCATAATTTCATCAAAATGTAGTTTTGCCCTCAAAAGGGCTTTTACATTCGAATTCGTTGCTATTATTTTTGGCATAATTATCTTTTTATTTATAATTGACAAGTAAATTATCAATAATAAATATTATTGTCAATTTGACAGTGTCAAAGTATTTCATTAAATTCTTTAGCAGAAGTACCAATTCTACCAAACTGGCATAAGCCACCAACCTAAAAAAAAATCACGAGTCCAGATAAAAAAAAATGAACTGTACAAACATTATAAAACGCAAAAGAAACCAGTAAGGATTGGCCGTTACTTTAGAAATTGAATATATACACGAGGCTATACTGCTTGTTGGTTAATTTTTATTCAGTCGGTGTTTTGCATATCCTATAGGTTTTTCTAAGAATGTTAATAAAATGTTTGATCGATTACCAGCCAACCACATGACGAATATACAAAAATTGTGCTTAATTTATTTATTACATAGTACACAAAATAAATCAAATAATGTATATAAAGCAATAGCATTAGCAGTACTAGTATCAGTACCTACTGTAGTAAATATAGGTACGTAAGCATTTCCAAAAGTAACGATTTTATGGCGGCATATCTTGCATACAAATTGCTGGACAATAGACGATGTCCGTTTTACCATAAACACCTTCTTGAATAATAAGCGATTTCTAAATTATTTACTTACATTTCCAATGTGACGTCATCGGTGTTTTTTGGAAAAATACACTTTTATTTAATACAACAATGTAGCTAAAATAGACGAATGGAATTGTGAAAAGATTTCGTTTAAAAAGCGTTGCAGTAGAATAAAAAGATTTAAGTATCCATGTTAATTGCAAGTTGGCGTAGATAATTTTATGATGTTAAGTAAAGTGGTTTGTTTTATTCATCGGTTACCTATGTGCAACTTTGTATTGAGTATGAATATAAGGAAAGTATGGCTGGCCCCATCGGCATCGCCTTACACTGATCTTCCAGAGTTATTTTTACCATCCTTTCAGTTCTCATACGTATCCTGCAACTGCACAACATTACCTGTGTTTCTATGGTTAAGCCCATACGCCCGATTTAGGCTAGTGGAGTGCGGGACATGGAGGAAAAACATTTTGGTTTTAAGGGGACATTGGACCGACTCAAAACTAAGTACAATCCGAAATCCCCCTATACCAGGGATTTAATTCTATTGGGGTTCATTAATTGGTTAGTTCGCTGCTTGGACCTATCCTTGCTGCCTTGTAGTACTTCCTGTTCGTTTGCGTCAATTCAGAACTGCTGTACGCAAATTGTTTGCCCCACTGTGCGAAACCATTTCTTCAGTCTAGAGGTCGAGAACTATCGATAGATAGTTTTCGGTAGACGGCAATGTAACACCGATAGTTTTTGATGGTTTTTTTAATGTTTATTACCAAAGTAATGCAAAAATTATCAGTAAGGAAGTAGATATACAATTTATTTTGTCCCACTGTGCTTTTTCAGTAAAGCCCTGTGTAATGTGTTGGCATGTTTATTGTTGTTGTCTAGGTGACTAAACGTTTTGTTTATGTTACCATTTATTTCGTTTCACGTTTATTGTTATGGTGATAGATTATTAATATTTTGTACCGATTTATATTACGAATAATTACGTAATTCACTTTTTCTTGCTTGGATGTTTTGTTTTCCTGGTTTAGATGCGTTGAAGACGCTTTAACTCTTTGAGAGGGTTGGTAAAAAATGCAAGATTCCTTCCTTAGTAGAGAATGACTTGACCCTCTCTTTGGTTCCTTCGGGAGACTGGTACGTTGAATTCACCTGCACAGGCAGTGTAAGTAATTTCGTACATTATTCACTTGTTAGGAGGTTGTATTGCACTTTACTATTGTATTAGCGTTTTCCTGATTCTGTAAGACTTCAGGAGACAGGTACCGTGATTTTACCTGTACTAGGCTCTAGTTTTGCACCGTATATACTTAAAATTGCCTAATAATAAACTTAACTACTCTGTGTGGGATTTACTGATTCTGTTGAGCTTTTATTTCGTACTCTTTAGAAGTGATCGCGTGCGCGTCTGTACTTTATGATGACTCAAGTCGTACTGCCTATGTTCAACTTTGTATTAGAGTTGTGAAAAATAAATGTTTTGTATGATTTAGGTACAGGAAACACAAGTACAGATGGAACGTATAAGCCTTCATTTTTGACGGATCAAGAGCTAAAACATCTGATCCTTGAAGCCGCCGATGGATTTTTGTTTGTCGTCAGCTGTGATACTGGAAGAGTGATCTACGTCTCGGATTCCGTGGCGCCCGTTCTAAACTATTCGCAAAGCGACTGGTACGGTTCCTGTATATACGACAATATTCACCCCGAGGATGTGGACAAAGTAAGAGAGCAACTTTCCACGCAGGAACCGCAGAACACCGGCCGCATCCTGGATCTCAAGACTGGTACCGTTAAAAAGGAGGGCCATCAATGTAAGTCTTACTTATAATATTGCATTACATTGCAATGTTTGCTTGATTTTCAGCTTCCATGAGGCTGTGTATGGGATCAAGACGTGGTTTTATATGTCGCATGAAAGTAGGAAATTTAAGCCCGGACAGTATGAACGTGGGTCATTTGAACCGGTTGAAGCAACGAAATAGCCTCGGTCCCGGAAGAGACGGCCAGAACTTCGCGGTGGTCCATTGTACGGGATACATTAAAAACTGGCCTCCGACAGGTCAGTGCACACAGATGTTTATAATGAAATTGGTTTCATAGTAAATTTTCTGGAAAAATGACCCTACTAACTGGTCGAAAAAATATCAGATATGTTCGCAGGTGTCCAGTTGGAACGTCAGACGGAGGATGAGCTGCACGCGGCCTCGCACTGTTGCCTCGTCGCCATCGGCAGGTTGCAGGTCACGTCGACGCCGAACACCAGCGATTTGTCCGGATCCAGCAGCAACGCCGAATTCATATCGCGTCATTCCATGGATGGAAAATTCACCTTTGTGGACCAACGAGTTATAGGCCTACTTGGCTACAATCCCACCGAGCTGTTAGCAAAAAGCTGTTTCGAATTCTTCCACCCGGAAGACCAGAGCCACATGAAGGACAGTTTCGAACAAGGTAGACAGACTTCTGAAAAGTATCTAGTTACTTTAAACAAAATAACTTAGTTACCTCGGGTAACTAGATACTTTGAGTTGAAAGTATCTTTAGTTACAAGATACTTTAAAAAGTATCTAAGATACTATATGAAAGTATCTAAGATACTTTTGAGTAACTAAGATACTTTTAAGAAACTTAGATACTTTTGAGTAACCAAGTTACTTTTAGTAGTATGAATAAAAACTATAAAATTATAAAAATTCAACAATTTTTTTTTAAATTATTTATTAAACCCAAAAAGAATACATGATTCCATAGCAGGTACAATAGTAGGAAAATAAAAATATTGAACAAAAATTATATAAAAACACTGAAATAAAAAAATTGAAGTATTTGGAAGTACAGCCAGTTATTAGTTTTCTTATAGATAAATAATAGTTTTTGACCGATATCGAAAATTTTATTTTTCATTGTACCATTTCAGAGCAGATTGTGTTATTCTCCTTTCTCCAAACTTAGTGATATTTGAAGCAATGTGGTCCTTGTGTTTTTTGTTTCACTTGCAAACTTTTCAAGTCCATTTTTTTGCGTGTTCCCAAAAAGCTGAAAGATACATTAAGTGGGAGTCAATGTGCATTACATATTAAATGTTTAGTTTTCTTGTTTATTAAATAAGCATTTCTTCTCAATGTGGTCACTAAAACTAAGATTATCATCAATAATTAATTCTAAATATTTTGCATTTTTCAATTTATCCAAAATTTGTTTATTTAACGTTAAAGTATAGTAATCTCAGTTTTTTTACTTTTTATGACTAGATAGTTGCACTTGGATTCATTAAGTTTAATATTGTTTAAGTTACACTGAAAAGTATATTACTTTTACTTTATATTTACTTTAAAAAGTATCTTAGTTACTTTTTTAGATGCAACGACTTTTCCAAAGTAACTAAGTTAAAGATACTTTCTGTCAGAGCTTATTATTTAAGTATTTTTCATTTGAAATACTTATTACTCGTAGGTACTTACAAATCTCGTAAAAAATACTCGTGGAATTCACGATGACTTTTTGCCAAAATATCGCAGGTATTGAAACATTTTTTTTTAAGTCTGTTTTCAATTCTCGAAACTTGAGTCAAATTAACAAACCACCAAGTTTGAGTTAAAAGTCCAAAAAATTTCCTGCTCAATCGAACCTCGAGTGGTATTTGTTGAGAAAATTCCACGAGTAAATAAATCATTTTTGTGTTACTTTGGCATTTCTCTATACAATAATATTCGGAATTGTCAATTAAATTAACATAAATACTCGTACTCTTTATTCGTGTTTTCACGATTACTACTCATAATTAGGGATGGGATTTTAGTTATTTTACCCCTTTTTGCAACCAATGTAACTATTTGAAAACCAATAATGCCAAAATGTGTTTTAAAAGATTTTCTTTTATATGAACCTAACTTGTTTTCACCTTTTTTACCTTATTTGGAGGTTTTTGCTTTAAACTACCTTTTTTATACTTTTCTTACCTATTTTTTTAACTAGTTTTCACCTTTTTTACTTTTTTTGGAGGTTTTTGCTTTAAACTACCTTTTTATACTTTTGTTACATATTTTTTAATTTGTCAGTTTATTTTCACATATTTTTATCTTTTTACGTATTTTTACTTATTTTATTTTTTTGTGTTCTTTTTAAATTTTCCGCCAATATTTTATCCAGGGCGTGCAACTCAACGGTATAGAATTTTTTCTTATGGTCACAGCATAGAAATTATTTTATTATTCTAAAATATTTCTATGAGTCACAGACTGTAACAGTAACTTTCTTTACAGTATTTCTTTGTATTGAGCTTATGTTCTGTCATAGAATTTCTGTGTAGTGAGTGTCACTCAGTGAAACACAGTTTATTGCATAGAAATAGTTTATTGTGGGTATGTTCCGTGTTTGGGTATGCGGCTAAACAAAATTATAAAAGAAACTTGAACTTTTAATGTTTTTTTTACCTAAAATGCTGTTTTTTTAACCTAAAATGCTTTTTTTAGTACCTTTTTAGTTACCTATTTTTCAGTTTTTAGTACCTTAATATCCCATCCCTACTCATAATAGTAAACTCTCTTTTCATATGTACTTATAAGGAAATATTTTAAGTACTAGAGCTTTTATTAGTACTCTTGGCCAGCTCTGCTTTCTGTCCAATATAAAAAGTGTCTTAAATACTTTAGTATCTTTTTTTTCAAGATACTTCCAGGTAGATAGGTTTGGTTTAATCGTACGTTCTGTTTTAGTTTTGAAACTGAAGGGACAAGTGCTGTCAGTGATGTACCGATTCCGAGCCAAGAATAGAGAGTGGGTTTGGTTGCGCACAAGTGCATTTGCTTTCCTGAACCCGTACACGGACAATGTAGAGTACATAGTTTGCACGAACACAGCGGCTAAGTCTTTGCACTCGACTGGAGAGGCTCCAGCCGAGGCCGCCGCCGAACAAGTGAGCTACCAGCAGCAGCAGCAGCAGCAACAGCAGCAGCAGCAGCAACCAGGGTTGGATTACAGTTTGCAAAGAAGAGACCACATCTCGTCGTACTCGCACATGATCCCCACGGCGCACATCCAAAGCGAGTATCTGGCCAGCGAGGACCCGCGCTACCCCACGGCCAGGCCGGGCAGCACGCAGAACGTGTACAGCAGCTACGAGCCGACGGCCTCGCCGATCGCCGCCTACGGCTCGCCCTCGCAGCAGCAGCAGGCCGCAGGCAGCAACGCCGCCGTGATGGCCCGACTGGCCAAGGGCGCCGGCGCCGGCGCCACCACCAGCCCCACGCCGGCGGCGGCGCCGTGGAGCCTGCGCCAGACGCAGACGGCGCCGGAGTACAGCCAGTACAGCCAGGCCAGCCCGCGCTCGCCCGGCCCCACCTACACGCAGCTGAGCGGCGGCTCGCGCTCGGGCCCCGCAGGGGGCGGCGCGGCCGGGGCGGGCGCCGGCGGTTCCGGCCCGCCGGCGCCGAGCCCGTACGCGTGGACCAGCTGGCAGGCGGCCGCGTCTGCTCACGCGCAGAGCAGCGAGGCCGCAGGCGGGCCGGGCGGCGGCGCCGGAGGGCCTGCGCCGCCGCCGCAACCGCAGCCGCACGAATTGTCCGACATGCTGCAGATGCTCGATCAGGGCGGCGCCGCCTCCTTCGAGGACCTGAACATGTTCAGCACCACGTTCGAGTAGTGGCTTGGGGAAGTGATGCGTCGTGTGTGTCTTACTACCAAATTTGAGTTGAGGACTTGAATTAGTGTGAACCCACAAAACTGAAACTTGTTTGTAACTGTCGTGGCGTCCAAAATATACAGTATAGCTTAAGGTCATAGCATATTGCTACATTTATCTTAATATGTCAGTAAGTAGTCAGTATACTCAAACCTAATTATTATTATTATTATTATAAATTCAAATACGATTATTATTATTTTAAGGAATTGTGAATCTGTAAAAATCGTTGCTTTCGGACAGAAATGCTACCAAATGCCGCAAGATGTGCTTTGCAATATCTTGCAAAATACAAATAGTAAGGAATAACAGTGTCTAAAGTACAACCAACGTTTTTATTTAGTGTGTTTTCTTTTTGTTCAACTACTATTATTTACCTTGTTTCAGTCGATATTTTTGTAGATTTTTATTTTTTCCTTTGTGTGTGTATAAAGAAATAAAGCACTTTTATTAAATTGTTTAAACAATTTTAGAAAATTTAAATGATTATATATTTTAATGCTACGATTTGAAAAGTCAATAAATTCTTAATAGAATCACTTGTTTTCTTTATCATCCCTTTTAAAACAAGTAAAAACGAAATTTTGCAAAACTGGAGGCCTACGAAATTTATGAACCATTTGGCAACATAGATAAACAGATATAGATACTATGAAACAAACCCTATTTGAATGGGGAACGTAGCTCCATAATTGAGGTCATTTTAACGCCAATTTTCTAAAGATGTTGTTTTCGCGGGGCCACATTTTCCAATTTAGGACAAAAAACATTAACGTGGAAATATATATTGACTTCTTCCCATAATAAGGTTGCGTTCAATTCAAATTTTAAAGTGGCCATGTGTTATTTTCCATAGATTCCTTCAAAAATTCATTTTCAAACTTGAGGATTATGTTGATGGCTTAGAAATTGATTTTTACAGTATATTTTTTAGGAAAGTCTAAAAAACAATTCTTTTTTGCACATTTTGAAATGGCCATTTCAAATTTAGTGCTGCCCACTAAAAAAAGTTTCAAACCTTAATTTTGCCATAATAAAAAAATTAACAATTTTTATGTTGATTTTAGTTTTTAATGATACTATTAATTTGTTAATTATTTTTACTACATTGGCACCGCTGAATTTGCTGTTGTTTATTTATTTATTTATCAAACTTTTCAAATAAATTTATAAAGAGAGCTAGTTTTATTTTAAGTTATTATTTTAAAATCAATTTACAGTCTACTTTAGTCCACTTTAAAATCTCAATATCAATTTTGGATTAGACCAAAATTTTTTATTGAAATTTCTCGGTTTTAATTAATAGTAGTAGATTTACCATTATTTCGCCTATGGGTAAATACAAAGAAAGAATTCTGTAATAATTACCGTTATCTTTATTAATACGATATAATACGTATTTTAAACACTGTGGTTGTCAAGGTAACCATGGTTGCAAAGTGTTCTCTGCTGGCAACTACGCCTGGGTATTTCCCAAAAGTCTTTGAACCGACACAAACAAGAAATACCGAATTCCTTTTTAACAAAACCCACAATACTTTACCTTGCGTTCATTGGAATCGTTATAATATATAAAAGTCGAAATTAAATTTATTCTGGGATAGCCCATATATTTATCTTATATTAGGTAATAGTAAAATTACTTCTATTTTGGGTTTTGTTTAAATTGGTCAATAATCAAAACAAAACCATTTATATAATAGTATTTCTAAAATACTATAAAGTTTGTCCAGGAATTTATGTAAAAATAAAATATATTCAAATTTTTTTTCGATAATCCTTAATTCGTTTTTTTCTTCAATTGAATAAATTAATATTAATATTGATTAATTAATATTAATATTAATGAATAATTCATGTTACGTTATATTTACTTACTAGTTTGTAATATTGATTTATTATTTATCTTAGTGGTAATGAAAATCTCTTAGCCCGAACTTGGTATTATGAAAACTTTAAAATAGATTTAAAGTAGATTTTTATGGTAAAAATAAATTTTACTTCTGTCATACTATAAGAAATATGCTAATCTTAAAGTGCTTAAAAAGCATTTTTATTCCTATATACTATATATAATATAATATATAGGGTGTTCATTTTAAAACTCTATTTCTTAAAATCTGAATACATATATAAACTGCTCGTCATAAAAATCGACGCACCTAGTTTTTTGGAAAATATTTGAAAGCTCGTTATTGAAAAATTATTGAATCGATTTTGAAAATCTTTGGAAATTCTGAATAGCTGTTTCTTTGACTCTTATGTCAAATTTTGGGAATACGATATTTTGCACATAGCATTATACTACAGGGTGTTAAACGAAGAGATGTATTTTTTCCGAAATTTCAAGTTATTCCCATTCATGAGGCAGTTGAGTTTGATAGTCGTCATACCCCTCCCTAATATTACTAAGGTAATCCCTCGGAACTTTTTCGGGATTTTGTGAATATCGCGGCTTACTACGATTATATGCCAATTTATCGAAAATTGTCGTTATTTCCCAGTTTAGTCCAAAAAATGGGCAATAGTGGATTCTTTGACTTACGTCTAATTTTGAGAATAAGATATTGTGCACATAGCATTATACTACAGGGTGTTAAAAAAAGGGATGTTTTTTTTCCAAAATTTCAAATCCCCTTTCACAAGGCAGTTGAGCTTGATAGTCGTAATACCCCTTCCTAATAACAGTTAGGTTATCCCTCGGGACGATTTCGAGATTTTGTGGATAAATTGGCTAACTACGATTATATGGCAATTTTTCGAAAATTCACGTTATTCTTCATTTTAGTCCAAAAAATGAGCAATAGTTGATTCTTTGACTCTTATGTCTAATTTTGAAAATACAATATTTTTTGCACATAGCATGATACTACAGGGTGTTAAAAAAAGAGATGATTTTTTCCAAAATTCCAAATCCCCATTCACAGGGCAGTTGAGCTTGATAGTCCTAATACCCCTTCCTAATAACAGTTAGGTAATCCCTCGGGACGTTATCAAGATTTTGTGGATATCTTGGCTAACTAAGATTATATAGCAATTTTTCGAAAATTGTCGTTATTCTCCACTTAATTCCCAAAAATGAGCCATCTACGAAAGGTATCGATTAGTTATCAAAACATCATTTCCCCAATTTGCATGTTCTTGTGCCCATCTTCTTCTAGCAGAAAAAGAGGGCAGGTCTTCCGTGGTATGCAATCTTACATCCGTCATTTTATTTTTTTAAATGTGATTTGCTGTTTGAAAAATGTTTTCATGTTCGACGACAAAATTAAAAGAATAATTGAAGGAAGGAAGCTCCAAACCAGATATGCGCCATATTTTTTAAACTTTCATAGTCAACCGTTTGTAGAAAATTGCATGAATATAGCCTGCATAAGTTTACGAGAATAATTTTGTTTGAATTTAAACGAAAAAAATTGGTTTTGTGTGAAACATTTCACTTTTAATGAATCATTACAGTACATTAACTGGAAGCAAGTGACCTACCTTAAAACGCTGTGATTGATACCTTTCGTAGTTTGCTCATTTTTGGGACTTAAGTGAAGAATAACGTAAATTTGTCGAAAAACTGCCATATAATCGTAGTTATCCAAGATATCCACAAAATCTCGAAAATGTCCCGAGGGATTACCTGTTATTAGGAAGGGGTATTATGACTATCAGGCTCAACTGGTCTGTGAATGGTTATTTGGAATTTTGGAAAAAACATCTCTTTTTTTAACACCCTGTAGTATAATGCTATGTGCACAATATTGTATTCTCCAAATTAGACGTAAATCAAAGAATCTACTATATATAAACTGGGAAATAACGACAATTTTCGATAAATTGGCATATAATAGTAGTAAGCCGCGATATTCACAAAATCTCGAAAACGTTTCGAGGAATTACCTTACTAATATTAGGAAGGGGTATTAGGACTATCAAGCTCAACTGCCCTGTGAATGGGGATTTGGAATTTTGGAAAAAAACATCTCTTTTTTTACCACCCTGTAGTATAATGCTATGTACACAATATTGTATTCTCAAAATTAGACGTAAGTCAAAGAATCCACTATTGCTCATTTTTTGGACTAAACTGGGAAATAACGACAATTTTCGATAAATTGGCATATAATCGTAGTAAGCCGCGATATTCACAAAATCTCGAAAACGTTTCGAGGGATTACCTTACTAATATTAGAATAACTTGAAATTTCGGAAAAAATACATCTCTTCGTTTACCACCCTGTAGTATAATGCTATGTGCAAAATATCGTATTCCCAAAATTTGAAATAAGAGTCAAAGAATCAGCTATTCAGAATTTCCAAATATTTTCAAAATCGATTCAGTAATTTTCCAATAACGAGCTTTCAAATATTTTCCAAAAAACTAGGTGCGTCGATTTTTATGACGAGCAGTTTATATGTACATAAAAATTGTCATTGAGGGGGGACATGGTTGTGCGCTAGATTTGCTCCTGGGGGGTTATTAAATTTTATAGAAAAAATATATTTTTAAGTTATTTTTTAGTATTCCAAGTAAAAATTGTAGTTTAACGCCCTACTGGGGGGACACCTATACTGGTGGCACAAAATATGAAATGCAATTAATATATATAGGTTATAGCATTAAGCGGTTAATTTGGTGTGGAGAAAATTTGACTGATGGTAGGGCGTGCAAAATGATCCTCCTTTGCCAATGCTGCGGACTTTCAGTGTTGTGCGTTTCACTGTAGCAAAGGCAGGTAAGTACTACGTACGTACTGGATCGAGCATTCGCGCAACTTACACACTTACACACTTAGTCCAATTGGTTCATCCGCTCCCACAAATTTATTCAGCTCTACGGCAATTCCATTTATTGTTCTTCTGTGGTGTTTTGTTATTGTTGTTATTCTAAATAAATCCTGTCACTGTGACTGTGCTAGCAACTCATTTTTACTTTACTCATCTTACCTGGTAAGTACCAACAATATTCGGCTGACATACATTTTTTTCGTAGGTATAGAAATTTTGTTTACCTTTTAAATTCCAAATGTCGAAATTTTTAAATATTTTATTGATCGGTTATGATTAATACGCATATATTTAATTTTATATAATTGCAGAGTAATTTTTACTTATTAAAAAAATATATTAATGTTTTGCCAATTAAAGAAATTGATTTTGGTGAAAGGTTTAGTTTTTTAGTCCAAACCAAAATATAAATGCCAATATAATTAAGTACAGTAAATTAAATTTTTAGAAATCATCCAAGGTACCTACTTAGCAAATTATTTTATTATGTAATGAGGTAATTCAGGGACAAATATTATTTAGTTTGACCAATAATGATTGCAAATTAATAAACCGAAATTTAACCGATAATCAAATACTAGATACTTATAAGTAAAGTAAACAGTATAGCGCTAAAGATAATAAGGTATGTTGTAATGATTTAGCCCATGTAACAATAATTACAATAGCTTAACTACATGTTAGCATCATAACAGGATATTAGGTATGTATGTATACACAGGGAATTTGCCTATAAATGTTGTTCGATAAAAAACTGTAATCAAATATTACTCAAATTATTTCACTGTTAATTACAAATTTAATTAAAGCGCATTGTTGTATAAATTGCATATTATGTAATAAAAATATTGTTAAATTATCGTTTACTACTAAAAAATTAGTTAGCTTTCTATTAGGCTGTAGGTTATTTTTTAATTTACTTGGGTATCATCTAAATTATTTTTTACAGTCCAAAAACAGTTTTGAGAAAAAACAAACTTAAAGTTAAACTTATAAAGGTTTTAAATCGAAATGTATTTCTTGAAAATTGATAGTTTTTCACAGTGAAAGTAAAGAAAATGTTTTATGAGCACTTTACAGTGGAGTCCGTGCCCGAATTTAAGTTATAGTTTACTGCCGGCGAAATTAAAAGGTCAGTACAATGTTCATATAAACTTTTCAAATATTGGCGTTGAGAAACTATTTAATACTTTTGAATTTTTGTATTGAGATAATAAAATAATTTTTACATTTAGTATTATTTTACAAGAAAGGCACTTTATTTTAACGATTGTATGACATTTGACAACTGTCAACTAACTTAAAACTATAGTTATAACTTCAGCCCGTGACTAAAACCTGTTGCTAACTTCAGCCCGTGACTAAAGCGCCATAAAGCCACAACTTGTCAATGTGTATTTAAAATGTCACTTAGTGGCATGGAAACATGTACCATAATGGGCGTTTTAAAGGTGGGAGTAGAAAAAATATATTTTTCTTATTTATTTCAATATATCATTTAAACAAATGGTTTTGCGAAAATAATTTAAAAGATCTTTTTGTTACAAAAATAGGTCTTGTATATTGATTATTTTCTTATGTCAGTTGGGCATGCAGGGTTAAACGACATTGAAAAAAAAAATCCAAAATTGTTTTTAGACTCAAAACAAATAGTTTAGATGATGCTACTAGTTAATAAAAAACGAACATCTTAACTTACATACATGCAAAAATTAGGAAATCCCTACATATTATTGAATAAAAATTGTTGTTATTTTACCTGGTGACCATGATCAATTATATCAACAAACTACAATAATAAAGAACAGTCGATTAATTAACTAATAGCTTTGTTTGTTGATGTTTTTCAGAAAAATTAATGGAGGACGAGTAACAGACAACAAGACAACATGTATAAGTACCTGAAACTATTTTTTCACAGAATTGTGAAAGATCTCAAGCAAAAAGAATTGCTTCCATTAAAGCTATTATTTTTCATGCATTCCTCAAGTGAGTTTTATTTAATACATAACATCCTCAATTATATATAATACTTAAAAAAATATAATTATTATTATTTTTAAACGACCTATCTATTAAAATAGCATTTGCGTTAACTTAAAATCTATTACCTTGAATATATAAATATAATTTAAATATTTTAAATATTATAGCCATATTGGTTATGTATCCCTATTTGACCATTCATATGAGGGAACTGGGGATAAGTGTGGAGGAGACAGCCATTATGTCGGCGGTCACCCCCGTCATAGCCATATTAATGCCGCCCTTAGCCGGAATTATAGCCGACAAAATTGGAAATTTTAGGGTAAGTCGCCTTGCTTGTTTTAACATTGTACCACTTATCGTTTAACCTTTAACATACGTGTAAAGCATAAAAGATTTCGGAATAACCCAGGATTGGTATGTTACCTAAAGCAATTAGTAAATATACGTTTTTTAATTTGGTTTTGTTAATTGGCAAAATGGTTTGCTCGTTTGAATGAACTTTTTTATTAATAATTAATAAACTGGTTTCATTGTTACCTGCATAGAAAAATTAGTCTCAATACAGCTTTATATATAAACCTATAGGTTGTGAGTTTTGTGTGATAATAAAGCCTATAGGCTCATTATAAAAAAAATATACTTTCTTTAACTTACTATAGAATTGTTTACAAAGTTGTAACCCTGATAGCAAAATTTGATTTTAAGAATCTTTTAAGAAGATATGACCCGGAATAATGGAATATTCTTAGAACCTTCCCTTATTGCTAAGAATGTTCTTAAGGACTTTTAAAACATTCAATAGATACCCTTTTAATGATGCAATTAGATTCTTAAAAGCTTCTTAAAACCTTCCTAAAAAGCATCCTAAGAACATTTTAAGAATACGTTTTTGGAATGTTCTTAGAAGGTTTGTTATGGAGCTTCTAGGAAGTTTTTGAGAATATTTCCAAATACGTCAGATACCCACGTTCTAATATGTTGTATTCTACATTCGTAAAATTCTTCAGGAGACAAATATGACAATATGACAGTGAAATGTATTTGTCGTCCCCTTAAATTTTGCGACATATTAATATATATTTATTTAAAAATATTAAATAAAAAATTTGACCTTTAAACCAAGTTTTATGACATTATTTCATAAACAGTAAAATTGAAAAATTTTGTGGGATAAGTCAGATTAGATTAATGTTCAAGATAGTTAGGATTATTATACATAAAAATGTTAATTCAGAAATAAAAAATCGGTATACAAATTAATAAATATTTATTTTTAACATAAAATAAAATACCTATAGTAAAAGTATTTTTGTTATCGATTTAATTTGACAAATAACTATAAAAAAATATTTTGGATTGTGTTTTTTACTTAGTATTTAATACTAATTACTAATTAGGTACTTAAGTATAGGTATATACCTTCATACGTAGTTATGGTATATTTTACTATTATATAGGTAACAGGAATATTCCTAAATGAACTTTTTTTCAATTACTTTCTTAACATTCTAAGCATATGTTTAGAGTAGACTACTTTTTACCACTAAAACTTTGCACCTTCTAAGAACCTGCCTATAGGCCAGTAAGAATATTCTTAGGATCATGCTATATGTCTTTTAAGCATGTTCTTTAGAAGAAATATAGCATGATCCTAAGAATATTTTCACTGGAAGGTTTAAAAAATATTCTTAGAATAAAGTGTGCTATCAGGGAAATAATTATTGATTCACAAATCTTAAAACAGTCCCCTCACATTTAATTAATTTGGCAAGCATCTATAGATTTTATCACAGAACAGATGCGTTTTATAAAAATAAAGCAGGGCTGCAACTAAATTCAAAACGTAAGATGGGGAGAATTTTTTTTGGGTTAGTTATTTTAAAAATAATAAGTTAGTTTAATTTAACAAATTTTGGTATTTATTAACTATAATGTGTTACATTAACCTAATTTAAACCAAAACCAAAGAGTTATAAATTACCGATAGGTTAATGAAGTAGTTAAATTAAACACAATAAAATAACCAAATGGTTTAAATAAACAGGTTAATTTGTATTGATTATATAATCAAAAGCATTCTTAAATCGACATATTGTTTGCTGTTCATTCTAACAAAAGGAAATGTCATTAATTTGAATTATTTGTTTTATTCCAAAAATAAGGTAATTTAAACTAACCGATAATAAAACATTATTATTTAATGTTTAAAAGTATTTCAAATCAATTTCAAACGAAATAAAGAAAAAATAGGCGAAAAAATAAATAATAATTTAAAAAAATGATCCAACCCAATCCGCCATTTTTAAAATTATGATTTAAAATAAGTATTTTACCTTCAAGCTTCCTATAATTTAAGCTTTATTATTGTCAACGCTCAATAACAAAGTATTCGATTATTTACTTGGCTGTAAAAATAATTTAGACCAAACAGGTGGTGTTTTTTACATCCTAGTCTGTTAAAAACCAGCTAGGACCAATAAAAAATATCGATAACTGCTGAAATCTCTGAAGCTATCTAACCTCACTATTGTTTTAATAATTGTTATTATAATATATACAATAAGTGCAATTATTATACACCGCCGTATAATAATGAAAATACATTCGCATTTAGCTCAAAATCAGTGTTGGTGACTGTAAAATTACAGGTCACTACAGAATAAATGTATGCATATAACTTATAATGTCAAACGTCAACATTATCTACCTATAACAATGTTTTGATGGTCTTAAAACCGTTTTCAACTAGTTAAAAACCGATTTTGACCGGTTATAAATTGATTTTTTTGACCAGTGTAAATTAGTTTTTCAAGACAGGTCAAACAAATGAGCTGTGAAATACTGAATTTTTTTAACCTCTTTATTTTACCAGTATTTAACCTATTTCTGATGCCTATTGACTATTGACCAAATAAAAAAGTTACCACCAAAATATTTAAAGTTAAATTTATTTCAATTCAACGCTTGTATTAGGGGTGTCAGAAGTTTTCGGTTAACCGGTTTTTATTTTCCATGAAAATGCTTTTACACTTTTAATGAAAACCGGTTGTCGGATAAATCGATTTTTGAACGATTAAAAACCGTTTTTTTCACCGGTTAAAAATTGTTTTTTGACCGGTTGAAAAGCGGTTAATGTACTATTATTTTACCCAATTAAATTATTAAGTGGCGGCTGGTGGATTTTGGGCACACCCATATCTCAGTTATTAGACATGGGACCCATATCAAATTTATATGAGTTCATAATGACACTATATTGACAAGTTCTGCGCAAGCCGAATTTAAATTGAAGTTTGCGAAAAAAAGTTGGTTTTTAAGTGTGCCCCCCCCAGCCTTCTGCCCCCCATATTAAGATAATTCAAATTAAAGTGGTACAATATTTAATTCACTGAAGTTTATCGACAAATTTCAAATTTTATTAAAAAAATTCAAGTATTACAGATTTTATACCATTTCATTTTTTTTTAAATTTATTAAAAGAAATAATAAAAATTTAAAATGGTATAAAACCTGTAATTCTTGAAGTTTTTTAATAAAATTTGAAATTTGTCGATAAACTTAAATAAATTAAATATTGTACCACTGTAATTTAAATTAGCTTAATTTGGGGGGGCAGGAGGCTGGGGGGGACACACTTAAAAACTAATTTTTTTTCGCAAACTTCAATTTAAATTCTGCTTGCGCAGAACTTGTCTATATAATGTCATTATAAACTCATATAAATTACAATACAAAATCCACCAGCCGCCAATTTATAAAGGTTTAAACAAATCTCCAAAGAAATTTAAAACCTTCAATCACAAAAAAAGGTTTAAATTTTAAAATATCAAATTAAACGACAAGGTTTGGTAATAAAAAATTTGCAAATAGCTACGTAAATAGATCAATTAATCTAATTATCATTTGCCTTGATTAGTTAATAAGTGATTAAATAAATTGCAGGTGATGCTGGCGTGCTTTTCTGTTATTGGAGGAGCCTCCTCTCTGCTACTTCTGCTTGTTCCAATCGGTCGTATAACAGTTACATTACCAAATGAAGTGATTTTCGGAATATCATGCAAGTCGAATTTCGCACCCCAGTTGTCTCTCTACCAAGAACATTCTTGTTTGCCGCTGTCGAATACGACCAGCACGCATACGCACTTGAATCTGCAATCGTGTGGATTCGCTTGCAAAGCCATTTTGGAGGACAAGTATGTGACCACCGTCACCGAGACAAAGCAATACGGCGTTCAAATACACGATATCGAGAAAAACGATACCTTAACTTACACGTATTTGCTCACCGATGAGGATATTCACGCGCCTGTTAGCCTGGTTAAATCAAAAAATCATCTAAAATTAAGCAACAACATAAACTATCTCACATCGATAAGACGACTCTCCAAAAATGTGTATTATTTTCCAACAAAAAACTTCCTAAACTTCTCTTGCGACGTCGGAAACTCACGTTCATCCGATTGCATTCTCGGTAGTTTGGACCAAATTTTAAGTTTCAACAAACGATTGACTAGCAGCTGGAAAATGGGAGTGACACCAGAGCAGATCAAGGATGAAGATAAGTTGGAAGAAAGGCAGCTGTATCGCATCGATTACGTCGACTCGATGGCAAACGGAAATTTGAGCTGCCTCGAAAGCCACATGCTCTCGAAGAAGCACATATCTGTTACGATACCTCTGAACGCGTCGACCTCGAAAGTGCGGCATTTGGATTTGGGCAGCTGCGCCCCAAAATGCATTGGAACAAGTCCTAGAAAAGAACTTTGCTCGAACTCAAAAAACGTTATTGAGCTCGACATGCAAGTCACTTTCTGGGGTTACTTGTGTGTGAGGGTGTTTGTTTCAATCATCAGCGGAACTTCTTTTGCAATGTTTGAAGGTGCCGTTATAGCAATTTTGAGAGAACACAAAGCTGACTATGGCCTTCAACGGATATACGCCACTATTGGTGGCATGGTAAGCTCTCCCATTTCCGGTTTTTTAATTGACTACGCGAGCCGAGGAAAAGGCTATACAGATTATAGTCCTATATTCTTTCTATACGCGACGCTTAAAGTTCTTAGTGGAATCTTGATGTTGTTTATCAATTTGGAATTCAAAAAGGCTGCAGAAAGCGTCGTTGCCGATGTAATGGCAGTACTTAAAAAAACTGAATTGATTGCCCTATTTATTTCATGTCTGGTTCTAGGTAAGTTCGTCAATCACTAATTACTAAGATGATTAAACACTATTTTATTAGGGTCTGTTTGGGGCTTCATAGAAAACTTCCTATTCTGGTTCCTGGAGGATTTAGGTGGTTCAAAATCTCTTATGGGATTGACAATAACAGTCGGTGGTATGGTAGGAATTCCATTGCTAGTTTTATCCGGACCAATCATTAAAAAATTCGGACACGCCAATGTTATCTTTATTGGATTTATATTTTATGCTATTAGACTTTTAGGATATTCTGTGATATATAACCCATGGCTGTGTCTCATATTTGAAGCAATGGAGTCAATTACTTTTGGCTTAAGTTTTACCGCAGCTGTTACCTACGCGGCCAAGTTATCTACTGTCACTACGGATACTAGCATCCAAGGCATGTTGGGAGGGCTATACTACGGAGTCGGTAAGTTTAGTACTACCATCAACTGCCCACATTTCATTTGGTTTTCTTTTCAGGTAAAGGAGTTGGCAGTTTGGTGGGAGGATACATGATTAAGCCGGTTGGAATCCGATCGACGTTTCAACTTTTCGCCCTGGCTACAACCTTTACTGGACTTGTCTATTTTGCCTTCTATCATTTGTACATGAAGAAGAAACCTTCCCAGGGAACGGATATAACAAGCGAAGATACAACTGAGAAACCACCAAAGGGATTCGATAACGTTGATCTGAATGCAAAAATTCCGGAAAAACCTGTGCATCAAGACATTCCTTTTGGCTATGAAGATTCCCTGTGCAATCCGGCATTTGAAACTAACGAAGACGATTTAAATAATGATTTAGCCGATGACAAAGAAAATATAGAACAAGGCAAAAATAAAACCGTAGTGTAAATTGTATTTGTATAGAAAGCTTTTTAGATAATATGTAAGAAATGTCCAAACCATCTCAAATATTAATTTATATTTTTTTATGAAAAGATTCGCTTTCAAATTATAGATTGAGGCGCCATAGTTAGTCCAGATGAAATGTGATGTAATTTTATCAAACAGGGTTTCAATATGAAATGTATTAAAACCTAAAACTATATATATTCTTGCTCATCACAAGAATGTCCAGTAAATAGATGAGTATCGTATCTGTGATATTTAATAAACCATTCTATCAATTATCAAAACTTGTTTTATTTAGTAAAAATAATTATTTATTACGTCGGAAACTCACTTTTATCAATTGCATTCTCAGTAGTTTGGACCAAATTTTAAGTTTCAACAAACGATTGACTAGCAGCTGGAAAATGGGAGTGACACGAAAGCAGATCAAGGATGAAGATAAAATGGAAGAAAGACAACTGTATCGAATCGATTACGTCGACTTGATGGCAAACGGAAGTTTGAGCTGCCTTGAAAGCCACATGCTCTCGAAGAAGCACATATCTGTTACGATACCTCTGAACGCGTCGACCTCGAAAGTGCGGCAAGTCCAGAAAAGAACTTTGCTCGAACTCAAAAAACGTCATTGAGCTCGACATGCAAGTCACTTTTCAGAGCTACTTGTGTGTTAAGGTGTTTCTTTCAATCATCAGCGGGATTTATTTTGCAATGTTTGAAGGTGCCGTTATAGCAATTTTGAGAGAACACAAAGCTGACTATGGCCTTCAACGGATATACGCCACTATTGGTGGCATGCTAAGCTCTTCCATTTCTGGTTTTTTAATTGACTACGCGAGCCGAGGAAAAGGCTACACAGATTTTAGACCTATATTATTTCTATACGCGACGCTTATAGTTCTTAGTGGAATCTTGATATCCACATCATATTAGAAGCAATGGAGTCAATTACTTTTGGCTTAAGTTTTACCGCAGCTGTTACCTACGCGGCCAAGTTATCTACTGTCACTACGGATACCAGCATCCAAGGCATGTTGGGAGGGCTATATTACGGAGTCGGTAAGTTTAATACTACCATTAACTGCCAATGTTATTTGGTTTTCTTTCCAGGCAAAGGAGTTGGCAGTTTGGTGAGAGGATACATGATTAAGCCGGTTGGAATCCGATCGACGATTCAATTTTTCGCCCTGGCTACAACCTTTACTTGACTCGTCTATTTTGCCTTCTATCATTTGTACATAAAGAAGAAACCTTCCCAGGGAACGGATATAACAATCGAAGATACAACTGAGAAACCACCAAAGGGATTCGATAACGTTGATCTGAATGAAAAAAATCCGGAAAAACCTGTGCATTAAGACATTCCTTTTGGCTATGAAGATTCCCTGTGCAATCCGGCATTTGAAACTAAGACGATTTAAATAATGATTTAGCCGATGACAAAGAAAATATAGAACAAGGCAAAAATAAAACCGTAGTGTAAATTGTGTTTGTATAAAAAGCTTTTTAGATAATATGTAAGAAATGTCCAAACCATCTCAACTATTAATTTATATTTTTTTATGAAAATATTTGCTTTCAAATTATAAATTGAGGCGCCATAGTTAGTCCAGATGAAATGTGTATCGTGTCTGTGATATTTAATAAACTATTCTATCAATTATCAACACTTGTTTTATTTAGTAGAAATAATAATTTATTATGGACGATTTAATCTTCTAATTTTTGTTTTTGGCTTAGGTAATAAATAATCGATCGGAACACATGTTTTCTATATACAAAGTACAGGTAAATTTTTATATCACACTGAAGTTATTATCAGCAATTTTTCTCATCACTACCATCACTACATTCTATATAACCATTGCACAGTCGACTTTCTGGTAGACATTCGCCCAGAGGACATCGATGCCCGTGACAGATGTTTTTCCCCTTTATTCTGGTGCTATTTTCAGATTTATTTTCATCAAAAACATGTGAATCGACCCACGTTATATAATTGGAAACTTTTGTGTACACTCCCGGTCTATTTGCCCTTGCACATCCATAACCATTGCTGGTTATGCCTGAAATGATTTTGTTGTTATTTTTGATAATGCTAGAATGATGGGTACAATACCATGCAAAACCCATCTTCCATTAGCTTCTGGGCACATCAAAGGTCCCCCAGAATCTCCTAAGCAAGCATCTCGACCACCTCTTTCGTAACCAGCACAAAACATATCGTCGGTTATTTTGTACAGTGGTAAAAAGACAGTGCGTTTTCTGCACTCTGCTGTCGATATAACAGGAACCTGAACCTCCTGAAGCGTGTCAGCTGAAAATAAAAAATTAGTTTTATTTACATGAAAAATGACAACTTTGGTGATATGTTAAACATATAATAGAAATATTCTCCAACACCAGTTACACTTCGCTTCTGAAGATGCCAACATCGTTGGCGAAAACTACTTCAAGCACTTTGTGTTTTGTTTTGGTGTTGGGAAATATTTCTAGTATTTGTTTAGTTTTATTTAAATTAAAATCTTGTTAGTCTTACGAAATATTCTTCCGACTTCAAACAGCTGCCCCCAGCCGATGACAGTGCAAAGTCTGCCATCAGTTGGAGGTTGATTTGGAGGTGGAAGGCACACCGGTCTCACATAGTCGCTATACACAACGGGAAACTCCATTTGTAGGAGCGATATGTCGTTTATAAATCCAGAATCAACGTAGCCTGGATGTACGATGATGTTCGAAATTGCTCTGAGCTGTTCGTATGGAGAGGGGAAAGAAGTGCCTCTTCTTAAGGCGCCCAGCCGGGCTACCCAATGCTCATCTTGGGAACTACAATAATTCAGTTAATACTAAATAATTATTAATGTATCAGTGCATACTGGTAGAAACAATGGCCAGCGGATACAAGCCATTTATCTGATAGTAGCGTTGCTCCACATTGAAATTCTCCTTCTTTGTATAAGGCTGCTTGCCATGGCCATGCTCCCAGATTTGCATTACCTCCTCCAACCACCCTGTAACCACGTCTTTTATTATTCATTAGGTAAATCAAGTAGTAATCAAGCTTTACCTTGCTATATGTTTGACTGCCTGAGGTCTGGCCCCACATTCTAACGTTTGGCATTTAACTTTGACCACTTTCTTACTTTTGCATGCCGTGTCTTTAAATGATAAACTCGATTTCGTTTCGTTTTGGAAGGAATAATTTAACTCGTAGTATGGAGTTGGTTCTGATATTTTATCGCTTTCGACGTACGATTTAATTGATTCCATGTTTCTAAAAAGGTAATCGTGGATATCATAGAATATTTATAGAAGTTTAGGTACTTACTGGTACGTCATTGATTTACACACGGCTCTTCCCAAATCTGATATTTCCCAGGATATATGCGATTTTGAAATGACTTCCTCAAAATTGTCAACACACAGTTTACCCCATTGGCCAAATTTCCTCACCATTAAATATCCATCTGAGTAATAAGGAAATTCTTCGGCAGACTTGGTGTTAGCCGCGATTGTAACACATTGCCTCTCATCATCACCTTGAGGGCAATCTCTGAATCCATCGCATATTTTTGATTTATCTATGCACACCTTTGAATTGCCACAGACATACCGATTCGGACTACACCATTCTAAAAAAATAAAACAGTACAGTAATAAACATAATGTTTAAATAATCATGACATACCACATTGGTTTTCGTCAGAGAAGTCCCAACAATCAACGACTCCATCGCAAATTTTTCTTGCCAAGTATTGGGAACGCAAGTAGTCCGCACAATTGCAGTCTTGTTCATCTTGACCATCGCTGCAGTCGATTAATTGATTGCATTTCGTGCTTTCCGGCAAGCATTTGCCATCTCCACATCGTACACTAGAATTTCCACATTCTAAAAAATAATATTATATATATATGTGTATTGATGGTTTTCCGGGATCTGCTCCGTATTGTCGGTTTTTGTTTCTTAAAAGAACCGTATGTCTGACGACGTTTCGGTACAATCTCATGTACCATCTGCAGGTCTTATCTGCTGGGCTACTGTTGCTGCTCTGCTGCGAGTTAGACGTGAAGTTGCTCCATTGATCTTGTTAATCTGCGTGGCGTTTTGGTGGTTGTAAGAGCTAGTTTCCATGCAGTGGGTAGTCTATGTGTATCGTCTCTTGTGTTGAGGTTTCTTGGACGTTTTTCTATTTCAATGGCTTCACGGATGGTACGTTTAGTCCTGTGTATATAAACAACGATCAGCAGCAACTCGAAGCGAAGCAGCAACAGCAGCCCAGCAGATAAGACCTGAAGATGGTACATGAGATTGTACCGAAACGTCGTCAGACATACGGTTCTTTTAAGAGAATCAAAAACCGACAACACGGAGCAGATCCCGGAAAACCACCAATACATATAACGCCCGTGGAAACCTTAAGCAAAACATATATTGTGTAAAAAGTACCAACCTTTACTATTTTGTATCGCGAAGGAAAGTTTGTTAATGCCATTCATGTTTTTGTCGTCTGTTAAATCGTTAGCTTTGTTAAGAGTCTTTGTTAGAATTTTAAATCCTGAATGGTTAATGGAGTAATGGGATGAAATGGCTTTAGTAGATATGACAGGTTCGCTTTCGAATATAGTTCGGTTGTCGTGAATTTTACTGATTTCAGCCAGTTGTGCCAATTTTTCCGGAGTTAACAAGTTCAGATTTGTTTTGTTCAAATTGTTCCTCGTGCTGGATGTTGAGGAATTAGTCGAATACACCGATATTTCCGTGTTATTTGTTGCAGTGGAATTATCCATTTTCGGAAATCGTACAATGTCTTGGTTATTTTTGTTGTTGTTTGCATTTTCTATGGAAGTTTCCGTAGCGAAATTTAAAACGCCCACAATTTTAAAGTCGTCCGTTTGGGACTTCGGTTTTGATGGTTCCACGTTTAAGTTAAGTTTGGCGGATTGACTTGGAAAACTCCTGTTCTCGACGGATATATTGTTTGTTTCGCCCGGCTTGTAAGGTCGCTTTCTCAGAGGCCTTCCAACGCCTGAGTTAGATTTGGCCGGCAACAAAGTAACCAAAGGCAGCTTTGTTGTTTGCAGCATTAAATCTTCAACATCACCTTCCACCACTTCAACTTGACCTTCGCCAAAACTCACGTCTTTCTCTGCCTGATCACCATCATTTTTATTTGTCAATTCTTCATTTCCATTATTATAAATGTCGGATATGTTGAAATGATCCGTGTCTAACGAGGAAGCCAACGTGTGGAATATCGCAGAAATATTTTTCATAATTTGCTCCTTCTTCAAGTCCTCAACCTCTTTGTTTCCAGGAACGTACTTAACCGTTTCAATTTCCACGAAACCAGTCGGTTTTTCAGTGGAATCAGTATACACATTTAAATGTGATTGTGTTGTCTGAGGTAATTTATTGACTGGGATCGGGTGACTTTTGATGCTGGTCGAACCAAGTGTTTCCTTATCCAAAAAATGAAACGAAAGGCTCGGATTCGTGAAGCTCGTGTAGAAAGGTTTGTGGTTATTTGGTGGGGCGGTTTCATCGGCTTTATCGATGTAGGAAGGTGTTACCTCGGGATCCACATCGTCCCCGCTTAATCCGGGCACTATTGGTATCCAGGGTTCATCATCAAACATATGGGGATCGACCCCGGCAAATTTTGATCTATTTGATGATGATGATGATGATGATGGCAGTGTAGGCAGAGTTGTTTTAGCTTTTTCTGTAATAACTGAAACCTGCGTGGTCGTGCTGATTGAACTTGGTACCGGGTTTTTAGTAACTTTCTCAATGGCTGCAATTTTATACAGCGCACTGGTCACTGCGGATTCTTTGAAAGTGGTCTTTTTTATTGACGAAGGAAATGTTACTTTGACCGTAGGTGATTTATTGGTAGTGGTTGGTTCAGTCTTCTTCTCGGTAATGTCGGCCTCAGTTTTGCTAATTTTAAAAGATCCTTGAATAACCGGCAAGTCCTCTTCTTTAATGTCGATTTCGTCTTTAACAATCGGTTTTTTCGTCGGCACTGTAATGTGCGATACGTTGTGGTTATGAGTTTTTATTACAACCCCAGTTTTGATGGCCTTCAAGTTGTTATCCTTTGCTTGATGATTGTTCGCGACACTGTGGAGTTTTTCTGATTCTATCGTTTGCCGAACGTGTACGCTTCGTGGATCGAACCTTATGTTTTTAAATATCGGCTTTCTCGATATCGCATCAGTCAATAATATATCTTTGATGTTTTTCTCTACACTTGAAGCGTTTCTAAAATTTAACGGTGTTATTGTTTTATATTAACTAGGAACTAAGGAACTTACTTTGTTAGTTTTCGTTTATTTAGGGTTAGCTTAAAATAAATAGTGAGCGTATCGTTACCAAATCTCTCAAACGTGCATGAGACCAAAGCTGGACCCAAAACGCTTCTTTGGTAAAGTGCTTCCAATTGTCCTTTATATTTAATCGCCTTCTCTTTCAAAGCCCCAACAAATCTATCACCCCTCAATACTTTAACGCTACAGCTAAATGTCATTAACGCTAAAAAATAATAATGAAAAAGGTCCCATTAAAAAAAAATTAATTTTTTACCGCTACTATTGGTCTCCGTGTGAAGGGTTCCCATGTAGAGGGCCATGCCCGCAATGGCTAATACTGCTACTAAAACTAAAAATGAAGCTACAGCTAAAGCAATCGTACATAGCTTTCCTTTCGATGCTTTATTGTATTCGTTGACACTAATGCAGGATCTGACAGGTCTTGCTGTGTTTCGACTTTGCCAAAAAGTTTGCGAGTTATGGCCGAGAGACGGCGTTGCTCTTCGATTGCAGCTCGGCAACGCGTACTCGCTCTAAAACAACAAAAACGACATTTTTAAGTTTTACCCAATTTCACACCGCTGGGTAAATGAACTACATATTACCGTTAAGAATCAAGTAAAATATTATGTTGTTTTAAATTCTTTATAAAACTGTATAATTTCGTAGTATATATTATATACAGTTAAATAAAATTCCTGTTTTAACACATAAAAATTAAGTGGTTTAAGGTTTTATAAATTGCTTTTACACGACCAAGTGAATCATTCAAAATCGATTCTATTGTTTATGCTTGAACGGAGATATGTTTCTGGTTTTGGGTAAAACTAGATTTTTATGCAATAATCATCAAATAACTGTACTCGAAATAATTTATGAGAAACGCACGTGAGAACGGAAATGTGCTTAAGTTTGTTCGTTTAATTAATAGGAATAAGGCTTAACCTCACCGGTTTGCACAACAAATTTTATCACATATACTATATAACAATTATTGTAATATCGAATATCTCGGAAACGGTTTATTTTATCGAAGTTTGAGAGGTACACCTTTTTAATGGTAGCCGAACTGTGTAATCGAAAAATTGCATTAAATGTTACAAAAACCTAACCTCAAAGTTTGTATTGGACAATAAGCTTAAAGCAAACCCCGTTTCTACGACACTGTTGACTCAAACAATTGTAATTATGTGTGAATATGTGTTTTGGTAGTAAGTGACTGTTCGCAAAATATCACCTTTCCAAGACTACCATAGTAGAAGCTATAATAAAAAACTGATTTGATAAGTAACACTTTATCACCCTGTATCTTGGAAACATAAGTAATTAGGAAATATATTTATTTAGATTTTCGTCTTATTTTTACTTGCTCAATCTTTTCCTAAATTTATGCCAATAAGTTTAGGGACACCTTGTATATTGTATATTGTATATTGTATATTGTGTATTGTGTATTGTGTATTGTGTATTGTGTATTGTGTATTGTATATTGTATATTATATATTGTATATTGTATATTGTATATTGTATATTGTATATTGTATATTGTATATTGTATATTGTATATTGTATATTGTATATTGTATATTGTATATTGTATATTGTATATTGTATATTGTATATTGTATATTGTATATTGTATATTGTATATCGTATATCGTATATCGTATATCGTATATCGTATATCGTATATCGTATATCGTATATCGTATATCGTATATCGTATATCGTATATCGTTTATCGTATATCGTATATCGTATATTGTATATTGTATATTGTATACTGTATATTGTATATTGTATATTGTATTATACTACCATTTACTACATTCAATTAAAACTTTAAAACAATTTAAGGTACACACTGTTACAAGAATACATTACAAGAAATTTAAGTCAGATATTCCCAGTAAAACATGTTCAATAGTCTTTTCATTTAACAAACACAATTGAAACTAATTTGCTTTTTTTAAAGCTTAAAGAGCAAGTTGGTTTTTAAAACAATCCATTTTAAAACAAATAGTTTTATGGAGTACCCTTGATGTAATTATTAAAACTCATTAGGAAAACTTTTTGTCTAGGGCCTATATGCTCAATAAAATTCCTCTTTAAATCCAAACACAAAATTTTTACGTTTTAAAGAGTACATTAAGAATATTTTAAAACTAAAAGGTTTTAATTTAGTTAATTCAATTAAAAGAAATGCCTGTTCGATTTTTGACCACTGGGTATACAAAAATTTAAGAACTTTTTATGAATATAAAATTAAAACTAATTGGTTGGTTTGGGCCCTTTTTGGCTAAAAGCCGCTTTATAATGGTCCTAAAGCTGTCTTGAAGATAATTTGGTTTTATTATATAGTTTTAAAGCGACCTTGTAGATCGCAATAAGAGCATTAGTGTTACTTGGGTTTTCTTCTTGTTGGTTATTGTTATTATTAGGGTTTGGATTTTAATGCCTTTTTTGTAATTTTTTCTTGTAATTTAAAAAAAAATAATATTTTTACGAATTTAAATAACATTAAGGTCAGAAATCAATGCCGCTTCATGCTTCTATATAGTATAACGGTTTATTAAATATTCTTCAGATTTTGTTCCACTTAAATTTTAATTAACATAATAATTGCAATCCCTTGCGACTGCAAGTCTAAATTGCATAACTGATTATTTTTATATTTTAGGTTTAAACTGAAACTACAGGGTGGTGCAAAATAAGTGTTATATTTTGTGGTTATATAAATATTGTGTAATGCATTTTTGGCGATTTGCTTCTTTTGTCAAGTATTGTTTTATAATTATTACATTTAATTCAATAATATCATGTGGTGTATTTTGAAACAATTGTTTTATATTTTACTTATTTTTACGGCCCAGCGCGCCTCAAAGAACGGTTTGTAATTTAAAGGTTCGTTGTCTTCCACTTATCAGGGTCTCCAAAATGTTTGTTTAATTATATTTCAAGTAATATAATTTGCACGCACGGTGTAATTATAAATATAATTTTTAACTTCCCTCCACTTATAAAATTTAATGCCATATGATTTTATAATATATATAATTATTTTTTATTATCCACAAAAACCACACACCTTAATAAATGTGTTTATATTTGTAACAATTGCTTAATTAGCTCTTGCTTGTGAGATATTCGCGATATACAGGGTGCCCCCAAGTGTCCTTCTATGTATGGGTATCTTTTTTATAAACAAAAATTGCGTAATTAAAAGTTTATTAAAATGGAATTTAATAATTGAATAATGAAAAAAAACTGAAAACCTGTCAAAACCAAAAATCGTTGTAAATTCGTTTTTTCTAGGAATTTAAAAAAAAGTAAGGAATTTTGGTAAAAAAACAATTCAAAACAAAAAATGAAAAAATGTGTCCTGCAATAAAAATATCTTCCTTGCGCACTAAAAATAAGTAAATTGGATAATCATTCATTTCCCATTAAAAATAAAAAAGAGTTATGTAAAGTGAGTACATTACTCATTAACATAAAAAATTGTAATTGAAAATTTCAAAATACTCATTACAAATTAAAAATGAGTAATGTAAAAAAAAATACATTACTCATTGGAAAAAATTTAATGAGTGTAATGAAAATTAAACACATCACTCAATATTTTAATAAAATGTATTATTTGCAACTCTAGTACCAATGTTATTTTAGTATGTTAAATGGTCATGTAATCTACTTTAAAATGATCAAGATGCCTTCCAAAAATTGATTTAGCAAAAATTCTTAATCACTTTTTGCAATGTTTGCTAATGAAAAGCAAATACCAACAACAGTTTATACAACATGAAAAGTATTTTAATAAGACCAAAAGAGAGGCATGTTAAGAACTTAGGGTACAAATAATTAGCAGTTCCCAGTATAAATGTCATTGGGTGGTCTGACTTTTGCCAAGCCAGATCAATTGTACCAAACAACAAAAAGTCTTGTACCTACACATATTTTTTTATTTAATTATAACATGACTGCTTGGCACAAAAATATTTAGGTAAACAAATGGGTAAACAAAAGCTTCTAAATAATTTATGTGTCTGCTTTTAGCTATTTTGTATTATTTATTTTGTTTTCGCAGAAATTATGTTTGGCTGAACTATTTTACCTATGTAGTGCAAATAAAAATAAACCGGTTAATTTTTAGAGAGACTAGTAATATTTTATAGCCATTCAATATTAATTTTCTTCTTGAAGTTTATTGTACATAAATATACCAGTGGAATGTAAAGCAATGTAGAAAATTGTTCAAGAGTCACCAGTGATGAGGGTAAGAACCTTGCAAGGACGCTGCCTCATCTTATCCATGGATGCAATCCTCAATGATCTTCATTTACTTCACTTATGAATTACTTATATATGCCGAAATTTTTAAACATTCTTTTGTGTTCCTTTAACAAAGCGAAAACTTTTTTGACCGCAACTTATCAATTTTAATAAAAGATATTGAGATTATGTCTTACTTTTTTACGTAAAAAGTAACTGTACAATATGAACAAAAGGCCAACTAAATTCGTATCTATTGTCCAAATAATTAAAATAATAAATTAAATTATTTTAAAATGTTATTTAATTCAGAAGAAGGTTCAAATAATTATATGAATTTGTGAAATAATAACCAAGGTAAATAAACAATATTTTTAAATTTGTAGGCAAATTCTATATCATTTGGTTTATGCGTAATTTAATGAAAATTGAGCAAATAACAGTAAATGTAAATATTAAATATAAATAGTAAGCAGCCGTACTGCAAGAGTTGTAAAAGAACTGTATTTGCAGCGTGTAAAGGAATTGTTGTTAATATCAATAATTAAAATGTTGTTCCACTTTTTAAGCATCAAACACTTGATTATATCAATCGCATAAATAAATAGCTTGGCTCGTTTGTTTTATGGAATTAAATTACCCCAGTTTGTCTGAAATTCCTCTGCGGACACGGTGGTACATTATGGTAAAAATTGTTCGTCAAATTCGGCCGAAATTTCGATGGATTCACACTGGACGCACAAAATGTTTCCATCGTCGTTGACTAATTAATAAACGAAACAAATCACATTGTTCACAAAAACAGAGGACACTGCAACAATACCAGGCGAATAATCCATTTAGTTGGCAAGCACTGCAAGAAGTCGAGTTCACGATGCTACACCGACTGTGACTTTTGAGACTGTGGCGCAAGTTGAGCTTCCAACCCACGGTTATGTTATTCTCCAGGTCTTCTTTCAACTAGCCCGCATTTAGCAGTATAAGAAGAAAACCTGCCACTATACTTGAATCGCTTCAGCTGAAACTTTCCGTGTACAAAAATTTACTGCAGGGACCAGAAAAATTTAGTTACATTTCTTTTACCATTTTAAAATTTTCCAAAATCGTGAGAGACCCTGAATTTTCGAAAGAGCTCCTAAAACATTATTAACCTAATCATAATTTACAAAATGTTTATCATATAAATATTTGATCTTTTGGATAACAATAAAAAATAACCGTTACAGTTTCTCAGGACAAAACAAGATTACAGTTAAAAATAATGAAGTAATTCAATCATTATTATACACTAAAAACCGAGTAAAATCGAGTAACTAGGCTCATTTCGTGATGAAAATAAGGACAGTTTGTTAAGAAAATATTCCCATAGTTTTTTTAAATGTTGACAAAGTTACTTAAATACCTAGTTAATAAGAACAATACATTTTTAATGGGCTTATAATTAACTTTATTTAGAAAAAACTAGACGAATCTTCCTTTATTAAATGTATATACAGGGTGTTTTTAAAAACTGCTATTCATGCTGATTAGTTTCACTATTTTGCAAAGTATTGTTTGATTTTTTTTGTTTGTTTGCAATCGAAAAAGAAACTCAGGATATACTGAACGAAAAAGGTACGTGATATTAATAAAAAAGTACATCAAATCAATAAACGACAACATTAATTTTCAGCCGATAATACAATGAACAGTCATTCGTAAATTTTCTTATTCATTAGGTTACGATTGCTGTACGTTAAATTGATAAATAATAAGCATGGATCTATGTTTGACAGTAATTAATACGATAACCAGCTTATGAACCCTGTAGGTTATAGTATATTATGTATCAGTTTGATAAACGCCATTTTAAATTAATGAGTGTATAGAAAAGTTTACAAACGAGGTGCATACTATACTTTTTCTACGACAAATACTTAATATTATCTTAAAATGATTTAAATAAAAAATTTGTATAAAGCGCCATCTATGAAACAATAGGGGAATCTGTGTGTCACCGTCAAATGTCAATTTTTTTTATTTATAAACACAGAATATAAAAGTTATAAATCGAAATGTATTTCTTGAAAATTGACAGTTTTTCACAGTAAAAGTGAAGAAAATGTTTTATGAGCACTTTACAGTGGAGTCCGTGTACGAATTTAAGTTATAGTTTACTGCCAGCGAAATGAAAAGGTCAGTACAATGTTCATATAAACTTTTTAAATATTGGCGTTGAGAAACTATTTAATACTTTTGTATTTTTGTATTGCTTGTATTACTTTATTTTAACGATTGTATGACATTTGACAACTGTCAACTAACTTAAAACTTACTTCAGCCCGTGACTAAAAACCTGTTGCTAACTTCAAATCGTGACTAAAGAGCTATAAAGCCACAACTTGTCAATGTGTATTTAAAAGGTCACTTAGTGTCATGGAAACATGTACGATAAAGGGCGTTTTAAAGGTGGGAGTAGAAAAAAATAATAAACTATGAGCATGGATCTATGAACAGCGGTTGTTAATGTAACGACCGTTGGACATACGTTTATTTTTCATTAAATCAATAATAAACAATTACCATAGATCTATGATCCCTAGTTATTAATACTTAGAACAAAAATACATCTAAAAAGTTCCAAAACATTATGCTTCCTCTAAAAAGTCAAGATTAAATATATAAATAATTTTAAAACATATATCGACCGCCTTAATTACATGAAACCCTAAATAATTATATTTAAAATATTACTCAAAGTAAATATTTTAAAAATAAAAAAAAAATATCCAAAAAAGTCAAAACTGTTTAAAATAACTTCACAAGCTCACACACCTCGGTTTCGTCAATGTCCACTCCGTATATTGGGCACAAAACTAAAAAAATAATCCAAAAAGGTCAAAAATGTTCAAATTAACTTCACAAGCTCACACACCTTGGCTTCGCCAATGTTCACTTCTTATATTTATAACAATTGCACTAATAAAGCTTTAGGGTTAAACGCGGAACTAAACTTTTAACGCTACAAGATTGACTGAAGATAATAATTGCATGTAAAAATTCGCCAGCCAAAAGTCTACGACAACGATTCGTTATAATAATGTTTATGTTGATTGATTCATCGTACGGCAGCATTAATTTTGGCGCGTTTTTAGAATTGAATGAATCATATTTGATATCTTTTTTAGGTCCAGACTCATAGAGCATTGCTCGGTTTTAAATAGACACCCTGTATAGAAGGAGACAATGGCAACAGTGATAGATATACGAGCTTTACTAGATGCTTTGCTTTGACTAAGCAAAAGGTAAAGGAAGTGTACAGAAGAAAGTTCAATGGCCACGCATACCAACGACTACAAACTCCAAGCTAATCTATAACCATTCCACTAAAACCAAGATAGGCGATCGTCACATGCCTTACGTCCTAATAAATGGTTTTTATTTATCAGATTTTTTAAGATAGTTTTGCTTCTTCACTATCTATGTAATAAGCCTTTTCACACTTCGCACTCAATGCACAAACTAATTAAAAAAATTGAATATTTATCTACCTATGATACACCATTAACGTTAAGTCAAATTTTCAATTACTATATCCGTCTTGCGATAATTTTTTATTGTTGTATGTAATTATATAAAAATAAACTCTATTAAAAAATGTATTTGCTTATTCAATGTTTATATCATTTATTAATGACAAAAACCTGTTTTGATTAGTATATTTTTTTTAATAACAATTGTTATAAAATTTAAGGAGGTACCTAATCATAAACCAATAATTTAAAATCAATTCAAAATGTTATTTATTTTATTGTTTTTTACAACCGTGATATAAATTATTAAAAAAACTCTAAAACAGCACTCGAACCACAATTTGTATTAACCTAGTAGCAAATTGCTACTAAAAGAAAAAAATGTTCTTTACTAGCAATACCCTTGAACCCTCGTGAAATTTGCAATAAGGAATCTTAAGTGTAAAGAACATTTTTTTCTTTTTTTGTTGTCCTGTCATTATTAATCCAGATTTATCGGTGATTAGGACAAACTTATCAAAACTTCAATTTTATTTATATGTAGGTATACCTAGATGTACCATTCCCCACTTACTGAAGGTTACTGTCAATTAAAAAATTAAGAAGCACAGCACATGAGGTAATAGTATACTATGTATCAAGTTGAATAAACGCCATTTTATACACGAATTTATGAGTGTATAGAAAAGTTTATAAACGAGGTGCATACCATACTTTTTCTACGACAAATACTTAAAATGATTAAAATCAAAATTTTGTATAGAGCGCCATCTTTGAAACAATAGGGGATTCTGTGTGTCACCGTCAAATGTCACATTATTAAATTTTATAAACCCAGATTATAAAGGTTATAAATCTAAATGTATTTCTCACTTTACAGAGGAGTCTGTCCAGAATTTAAGTTATAGTTAACTGCCGGCGAAATTAAAAGGTCAGTACAATGTTCATATAAACTTTTCAAATATTGGCGTTGAGAAACTATTTAATACTTTTGTATTTTTGTATTGAGATAATAAAATAATTTTCACTTAGTATTATTTTACAAGAAAGGCACTTTATTTTAACGATTGTATGACATTTGACAATTGTCAACTAACTTAAAACTAACAGCCCGTGACTAAAAACCTGTTGCTAACTTCAGCCCGTGACTAAAGCTCTATAAAGCCACAACTTGTCAATGTGTATTTAAAAGGTCACTTAGTGTCATGGAAACATGTACGATAAAGGGCGTTTTAAAGGTGGGAGTAGAAAAAATTACTTAAATACAAAACAAAATCTTTACGGGCAAACGCTGAAATTTCACAGACTAAACATTTTTCTCGTTTTTTTGGAATTATTGCAAAAAGCCACACAATTATCCCTTTAATCCCCAGTGGTATCATGACGAGACTCTAGAATAGTGGAAAGCGCATTTCTTCTAAAATTTGTTATAAAAAAAAAATAATTTTATACCTTATATTTAATTTGGTCGAATTTTACTTTAGATAGTTGGTATCGCAGTCATTGGTTTGACAGTTAATGTCAAAATCGATTCGCCATGCCGTCCTTAATTTACTTATTTACAATAAGCGGCTGATAATGTTATAGAAGAAAAAAAGTATTTTCTTTGGTGTTAAACAAAATTTATTGCCAGTACTAGAAAAATCCCGATAAAAAAGATTTTATCTAAATGTATATCATTATATAAAATTTATATAAAATTATATATAATTCATACATAATTATATAAAATTTATATATAATTGTATATAATTATATACAATTATATTCAATTATATCTAATAATTTACAATTATATATAAATATAGATGAGACTCTATAAAAGTGTCTATATAATTATATAGTGCCATATACAATTCTATATATAGGTCGCTTTTAAGGTATATAACATTGTATATATTTCTTTTCAATTCTATATAAATATATATGTTTGTAATATGTATATAAAATTGTTTATAATTATGTACAATTCTATATAATTTAAGAAAATTATCCAGGTCATTAAAAAAATTATTTTCAATTGGTTAAGGATTTTGATTACAAAAAAGGATTATTATTATTATTATTATTATTATTATTATTTATTTTTGGTGAAGATTCGCAAGTAGAATTTTAATTAAAATTTCAGCCCTTGACTAAAACGCTATAAAGTAACAGCATTGAGTAAGAAAAACAAGATTACATTTTATGTATTTGGATATTTCAACAACCATTAAAATGTTCCAGTGCTTATTAATTGTGTATTTTTAAGTTTAGGGTAGTAATTTTTTTGTTTCATATTAAGTTGTCTTTCAAAGTATGTAAAAATATACAGGGTGTCCCATTTAAAAAAATGTTATTTTTGTAATAACTTCGGAAACCCGACATTCAATTGTTTTTCTGTAAAAATACCACTAATTTGCTAATTTAACCGACTTTGTAGCTCCAATAATAATGGTGAGCAGGTTTTGACGACATTATATTTTTAAATTCCTGCCTAAAGTAACTAACTGACATTTTGTGAAAATCTTAAAAAACATAGTTGTGTGGATTGTTGTTTATATATCCAAATTAACCATATCTTTAATGTTTAAGTCATATATGCATATAATGCTTAAAGCACTTACTGACTTTTATACATTAAAGAAAATGTAAATTTGGTTAGTAATTTAAACTAAGATTTTTACAAAATTTCAGTTGGTGACTTTTGGCAGGAATATAATAATATATGCTTATGTATAATTGTATAGAATTCTATCCAATTATATCGGGCCATTTTTTTATATAATTATATATTATTTTATACAATTATATAAAATCTTTTTTTATCAAGATCATAAAAATATTATAACCAATATGCAAAATGTTTAAAGTATAGCCACCCTATAAAATCAAAATTTTGGGTGGAATAAAGTATGAACGCAAAATAGATAAAATAACAAAACTGCAACTGACTTTATGTAATATTTGAAAAATATTAAATTATCATATACAACATTGTCATAAAAGACCGCATATTTAATTAATAATCTGGATTTATTCATCGCCTGAATAACTGTCCAACAATTGTACGGTTTCAATTTAAAACGTGAACCTAATTGAAATTATTTTAAATAAATTTTACTGTTGTTTTACCACTATGCATTCTATATCCTCAATTCGCAGATGTTTTAAATTAATTCAATAAAACATTTTAATACCGCCTATAAATCCCTCAATAAGGTTAATGAGACTTTTTCATAACCATTTGCGATTGTTAACATTTTTAATCTAACTGTATGGTATAACCTACTGTAATAAATAAAACACCACTTGCAAAATTTTATAGCTATATTTATAGAAGAGAGAAAATGCTGGCATACAGATCAGAATTCGCCTCTTCGGCGGGCCCCTAAGAGTATTTTTTCGAAGAAAGTGCATCGAATATCCTTTGGTAAGTCTGCGAAGACAGCCCGGACCACATGCCACTGGAAGCCGCGTCATTATTGGATCTGCCAAAGAAGTCGTAGTCGTAGTCGTAATCGCTTGTTATTACGTTAAATTTGGCGTAATAAACGGCAGCAAATGCGGAGTAAATCAACAAGGCTGCAGTTACCAGCTAAAAATGTAATATGTTAATCTTCAATGCCGTAAAATTTTTTGTTGTTCTTCAAATGAAGAATATTTAAAATCATCTTTCGAAGGTTAATACCGCCACGGTAGGCTGGGGACGGTAATTGGGTATTGGGAATACTATAGCAAATAGTTTTAAAGACAATGTTGCTAAAATAAAAACGTTCGCATGGAATTTTATAATAAATATGCATTAAGGAGAGGAAGATAATGATTTCCGGCCTGTCTTGCATACGTAACTGACGAGAATATGCGGTAAGCTGCAACACTCGCCAGATTGCAGGAATTCAAGATTTGCATATTAAATAGCGCAAATAGTTAGTTAGTACCTGAAAAACGGCCCAAAACTTAAAAGATCCCTCGTTAATGATAAAGTCGTAGTAGCTGGACCACGGGTCTTCTTTAACAGCTTTTTGTTCGGGCTTATCGTGGTCATGATCATGCTCGCTGTAATCATCATCATCCATGGCCATGGACATTCCTCTGGCTTGCCGATATCTCGCCTCGTCGTAATCCTCCAGGCCTTTCTCATATCTAAAACGTTTAACGGTTTCTTAATCTTTCACATTTTAACAATAACTGATAAACATTTTGACAAAAAAAACTCACAAGCTTTTGGGACTTTCTTCTTCAGTTTTTTGCGTCGTTGTTGCTAGAGGGTAATTTTTCTCCGTAGACATACACTGAGCAACAGAAATAAATAAAATAATAGAAGCACTTAAACAATACATTTTTTAACAAAATATAAACACTCAACCTTTGGCTAAGAAAAAATATCAGAGGTTATAGTGATAAAAAAAATGTGCTGGTCTTATCAAATCTAGTGCGTAACTATTGTAGTATACTATAGGTACTGAATGGGGATTAAACCAAAAAGTGTAATAATTATAATTATTTAGCACTGTCCATCCTAACGGACATTTATATGTTATAATTTTAATAACAAATAATACTAGTTACTTATCCAGGGTAACGCTAGATGCTAATTGATAATACGGTACCTAGCCAGATTTGATGACATTATCAAAAGCTTGGAAACAATTCATTATAACTTTAACAAATAGTTAAAACAATGAGCGAAAAGTGAAACGATTTTTCCATTGTTTTTTATGTTTTTAAATTTAAAAAAAGGACCAATAAGTACTAGAGAAACAAATATTTGCTCTGTTTTAAGACGACCTGATCTAATAACATAGTTCTTAGGTTCACATTAGTTTTTAAAATAATTCTTGTAAAAATTAACGTTTTTGTTTATACTTTTTTTTTAGGATCTTCATTATTTAAATTAAATCTCGTGTTTATATTATTATTATTATTTATATTATTAAATTATATTATGATTATATTTTCTTAAATTGAAAATACATATTAGGTACACCATATTATTATTATTATTTGTTTTAGATATAGTTATTTTAAATTATGATTTTTTTGAGTTCATTAATAGGGTATTGTATTGAATAATAGATCATGTATTTTTATGTTGGTTTATTTTACGTATCTACATAGCCATATATTTATTTTCTGCGCTTTGAATGGCAGAAGAGACATTTCTGTGCATATCATTGATGGTTTCATGAAAATCCATGGTCCTGGCTTTCCTTTTGTCATCGAGGAAATCATGTTTAACCTTAATCTTATGCCTTGCGATGGATTTCAATATTAATAGGGTAACATAAAGAATAAAATAAATGCTGAAGTACAAAGGTATGTACCACAATTTTCTTCCTAGATAGTAGTAGCTGTAATGGCTGCCGCTGACACGTTTGTCTTCTTTCTCTGGAGCTGCAGTTGTTGGATGGTGGATTTCTTCGTAGACGTGATGGTCATGGTGGTGGCCATCGTAGAGGTATTGTGGGAATGGCGGGTCATTCTCTATGCCGCCGGAAGGGGGCGGAGAGAGATCTTCTTCGGCCATATCGACTGGAGCTGGATGGTGATCGACGATTTTTTCATCATGGTCATCTGGAGGGTAGTAGATGTCGTCTATGCTCTTGGGCGGAAATTTCGGAGGACCTTCTTCGTGGAAATGCTCATCGTCCCCATCTGCTGGCGGTGCTAGTGGAGGCCCCAATGAAGGAGAGGTGAATACCGGTGTTGGTTTATAGTCGTAAACAACTTCTTCGTGAGCCTTTGCAGGAGGTTCGGCGTACGAATCTTTTGTCGGTTCAGGTTGAGCAGCGTTCGAGGGGGCATCGTAGTTGGCTGTGCTCACATTTGGGGGGTTGTAGGACGTGTAAGGGGAAGTATATAGATCTCCTCCGTTTGTTGGACTGGAATTTTGGGCAGTGGACGGTTTAGCGTCCACTTGAGCTGGATGAGCGTAAACTGGATATGAATCTTCCTGTGGAGGTATCTGTCCGTATTTGAAGTATGGTTTTGGATTGAATCGTTCTTGTATGACTTCTCCAATTCCTGGTAGACCTTCAACTTTATCGTTTCCTTTTCTCGAAACCGGATAACGATAAGTAACAATTTGTGGACGATTTTTTTTCGCGTTTTGGCCACTTTTTACATTTACATCAGATCTTTAAAAAATAAATACAAGTTCACACCTACATACAAAGTTATTATAATATGCTTACCTATAAGACCACAGTGACTGACCACTACTTCTTCCTTCAGTTGGGTGTTTTTGCGAATCATTTTGCCCGTAGACGGCGACTTTTGCGTATTTTGAAATTAAAACTGCCCTATCGTTTGGTAAACTTTTCGAACTTGCACAAAATACCAATAAACTGAAGTACAAAATAACAAATCGAAACATTTTTTATGCCAGTTGATACGACGATTTTAAAAGTTTGAGACGACTGTCGACAGTGTTCTAATGGCATGAAGATATGATTATAACCCATATTTTATCCCTGTTTTACAAATATTACACATATAAGTGATAATTGGTCGATTATTGTTCTTACAGTTATTTAATACTTTTGTAGTTTTACTCTTTAGGACGTTCTATTTTCTTAATATTGTACCGTTGTAGACGAAAACATGATCCAACAATAAGTTTCATCTGTAAACAGTTTGTTTGTTTAATGTTGAACTATAGTAATAATTCCGCTGTTTTATTATAATTATTATAATGAAAAGGAGTATTGATTGTATAGGCAACCCGCGAGACTTAGTTGTATTCTGTGTTGCAGGCAATTAGTTAATATTTTAAATAAAAACTTTATTTAACGTTACCTTTCTTTAATGTTTGGATAATAATAATAATAAATAGTTTAATAAAATAAGAAATAATTTAAATATGTTGTGACGCAGTCGCAGTATTGAGAATCGATTTTACAAGGGGTGTTAAAGGGCAGGATAGAATAACATTGCATAGATCTTAGATGTCAACAAATTTACCATTGGAAACTGTCAAAAAGGGCAGCAAGGAATTGTGTCAATTAAATTAATGATCTTTTAGGTAAATAAATTAATTAAACAATGGCAATGTTCAAGGGATTTCGTGTTTACGAAAAAAGTAAACCCCCAAGTCCACACAGTGTACTGTTAGAGAAAAAAGGCAAGGATGAGACACTTTTGTTTGAGTCCCATGCGCTGGCAGTACTTTGTAAGTGAAAATACAATAAATAATAATAATCTTGCTATAAATGTTGTTGTTATTTTAGCTGCCCAGGAAACGGAGGCTGTTAAAAAGCAATACACAAAAATATTGGATGCATATGGTTGTCTGGGTGTTCTACAATTGTATTCTGGTGAAACAACTGTTCTCTACTTAGTTATGGTAACCAGTTGCTTTTCAATTGGCAAAATAGGTGACTCGGAAATATTTAGAATAACACAAACACAATTCGTACCCTTACATTACCAACAAAATGACGAAAAAATTGTAGAAGTAAGTATCTACATTTATTAGGTATATATTTAATAAATAGAAATGTTATATTGTAGGTAAGGAAATTACTTAATTCAGGTACATTTTATTTTTCCTGGTACTCCGGCAGTACAGCTGGTGGCACACCTTTAGACTTAACATTATGTGCACAACGAAAGCAAAAAACACAAATAACCGACCACAGATTTTTCTGGAACAGAATGTTGTATGTGCATTTGGTGAGGTTCGGTGTAGATTGCAATAGTTGGTTAGTACACGCTATGTGTGGTTCAGTTGAAGTCAGAACTGTCTATGTCGGCCATAGAAAAGCCCTTGCTGCTGTTATTTCAAGATTAAGTTGTGAAAGAGCAGGAACTAGGTGTGTATTGAAGAAGATGGTAATATGGAACCCCTCTACAGACAATAAACGCCGAAAAAGGTTTTTCGTATCTTGTAGGGGGTCCATTAACCAGCAGGTTTTTCCTGCACAACAATCCTGAGTTTATATTAGCTTATATCTTATTTTTTCTGAGTTTTTAACGCATTCAAGCGCATTTGTGATCAAATGAGCGAAAAGTGAGATCTGAAAGAAAAATCTGAATAGCGCATGCGTATAGTGTGCGTACGGTATAATTGAGGTTATAGTATATTATTATATGAGAGATAATGTAGGTTATTATTCACGAGGATGAGGTTTGCATCTCGAGTCGTCAGACGAGAGACTCAAATCATTCGAGTGAATAATGCGTATAATCTCGAGTCTAATACTATACATTATCTACTCTAATAATGAGATAATTAAATGATTTTAAAAGTTCTTCTTCTTCTTCTTAATTCTGAACACAATTCTGTGTTCAGAGGAATGACCTTTAGCTTAATTTAAAAGCTATTTGGCCAGCACATTATATTTTTCGGTTTCCACCAAGATCAAGGGACTCAATTAAGAGTATCTGAGTTGTCTCATCCCTTGGTCTAATTGTTTTTTTTTTCTAGGTTATATTTCCAGGTGTATTTTTTGCTAAAATGGGTTTAGTAGGGTGTTAGTACGGACAGACGTTACAAACAAAGGTAAGACTTTTCACGCTTGGGATTTTAAAAGTTAAATAAATAAAATCTGACATCTGTCAAATGGTTAACCTTACTTTTTACCAATTTTAAATGTAATTATAGTCGCCTTCTAATTTAAAACCCGATTGGTTCAAATCACAGTGAATATTGAAATCGGCCAATCACTCATGCATAACAACGTGAATATTGAGTTTATTATTTACGTTGTTAGGCAGGGAATTTATAATGTTTATCAATATTCAAGGAAAAAACCCAAAATTTTTCAATAGGAGTAGATAATAGTATATTATGTATCAAGTTTGATAAACGCCATTTTATACACGAATTTAATTTAGGCACGAGCGAGGTTGCGAGCGAGTGCTTAAATTAGTGAGTGTATAGAAAAGTTTATAAACGAGGTGCATACTATACTTTTTCTACGACAAATACTTATTATTATCTTAAAATGATTTAAATCAAAAATTTGTATAGAGCGCCATCTATGAAACAATAGGGGAATCTGTGTGTTACCGACAAATGTCAAATTTTTATATTTTATAAACACAATTATAAAGGTTATAAATCGAATATGTATTTCTAGAAAATTGACAGTTTTTCACAGTGAAAGTAAAGAAAATGTTTTATGAGCACTTTACAGTGGAGTCCGTGCCCGAATTTAAGTTATAGTTTACTGCCGGGGAAATTAAAAGGTCAGTACAATGTTCAAATAAACTTTTCAAATATTGGCGTTAAGAAACTATTTAAAACTTTTGTATTTTTGTATTGAAATAATAAAATAATTTTCACATTTAGTATTATTTTACAAGAAAGGCAATTTATTTTAACGATTGTATGACATTTGACAACTATCAACTAACTTAAAACTAACTTCAGCCCGTGACTAAAAACCTGTTGCTAACTTCAGCCCGTGACTAAAGCGCCATAAAGCCACAACTTGTCAATGTGTATTTAAAAGGTCACTTGGTGTCATGGAAACATGTACAATAAAGGGCGTTTTAAAGGTGGGAGTAGAAAAAAATTATTATGTCACATCGAGCTTTATTTTGTACGCCGTTATGCTTAGAGCGCATGCCCGCGCAACTTAATTTCAAATCAACTCACAAAATGATTTTTTTTCACGGCATGAGCTCAGGTGATACACAAATGAGCAAATGCCTGAGAAATCATGGCGTGAGAAAAATCTGAACTCAGGGATGCTGTGCGGATAGCCTTTCTTCTTGATATTGATTTTCCTACTTTATTAGATTTAATGTACGTGGTACAAATGACGAAGGAAATGTCGCCAATTTTGTTGAAACTGAGCAAGTGATATTCCTAGACAATGAAGTTTCCTCGTATTTACAAACTAGGGGATCAGTACCATTATTTTGGGAGCAACCTGGTGTGCAAGTTGGTTCTCACAAAGTAAGAGTGTCCAGAGGTTATGAATCTTCGAAATCAGCCTTCAACCGACACATGGCCACGATAAAGGATAGATATGGTAACCAGGTGATAGTAAATCTTTTGGGGACTAGTTTGATAGGTAGTAAAGAGGGTGAGGCCACTTTGAGCCAGGAATTCCAGAAACACCACAAGGAATCGGGTCACACTGACGTACCTCACATTGTGTTTGACTATCACCAAGAATGCAGAGGAGGCAATCAAGCAAACCTATCAAAACTGAAAGCCAAAGTGGAAAAGGAAATGCAAGACTTTTCCTATTACCATGCTGTTGGTAATCAAATTTATACCTTGCAGACTGGAACAATCAGGACGAACTGTCTGGATTGTCTGGACAGAACGAATTGTGTTCAAACGTTTTTCGGACTGGAAACTCTTTCAAGACAACTACAATCCATGCAGTTGGTGGATAAAAAACAAACCATATCAAGATTTGAGGAAGTGTTCAAGCAAATGTGGATCAATAATGGAAATGAGATCAGTAAGATATATGCAGGGACTGGGGCTATCCAAGGAGGATCAAAAGTAATATATAATGTTATGACGATGTTGATAAATTAGTTGATTCTTTGTTGTAGCTAATGGATGGAGCCAGATCAGCAGCAAGAACAATCCAAAATAATCTGCTTGATAACTCCAAGCAAGAAGCAATTGATATTTTATTGGTTGGCTCAACTTTGTCGACGGAATTGGCGGATAGAGCAAGAACATTACTACCATGTAACACATTACATGGTAAGAACCGATTACGCAATATTTTTAACTAAATAAATGATTTTTGATTGCTTTCAGCGCCACCTCAAGTTTTGCGAGAAATGTGTAGAAGATACAACGAATACACTGAACCACTCCCCCTCAGAGTAGCTGTAGGCACATATAACGTAAACGGTGGGAAACACTTTCGTAGCGTAGTTTTCAAAGACATCAAACTTTCCGACTGGCTTCTGGACCCACACACTAAAAACAAAGGAAGCCTGGTAGACACCGGGTTCACTGACGAGCACAAATCAATTCCAGTTGATATTTACGCCATTGGTTTTGAGGAAATTGTAGATCTGAACGCGGCAAACATCGTCAATTCCAGCACTGAAAATGCGAAATCTTGGGCTCTGGAATTGGAAAAAGTGCTTTCCAGAGACAGGCAGTACGTGCTGGTTACCTACCAGCAGCTGGTGGGCGTTTGCTTGTATGTATTTGTAAGGCCTGAACATGTTCCTTACATAAAGGACGTCGCAGTGGATTCGGTTAAAACCGGTATGGGAGGTCACACAGGAAACAAGGGAGCCGCAGCCATACGATTGGTCCTGCACGCGACTTCGTTGTGTTTTGTGTGCGCTCATTTTGCCGCCGGTCAATCTCAAGTGAACGAGAGAAACGCAGACTATAACGAAATCACACGGAAAATTTCCTTTCCCATGGGCAGGTCTCTCAATTCGCACGAGTATTTGTTTTGGTGCGGCGACTTCAACTACAGAGTCGACATGGACAAGGAGGAGTTGAGAGAGTGCTTGAAGAGAAACGACTTGGCCGCAGTGTTGCAGTGCGATCAGTTGGCAAAACAAAAGGAGGAGAAGAACGTATTCAAGGATTTTGAAGAGGGGGAAATAACGTTCCCGCCAACTTACAAGTACGATTTATTTAGCGATGATTACGATACAAGCGAAAAGTGTCGAGCACCAGCGTGGACCGATAGAGTGCTCTGGAAAAGAAGAACGCAATCGCTGGAAATGAACGGCGCGTCCGATCAATCTCCAGGCAAGTTGGTCTACTACGGAAGAGCGGAATTGAAACAAAGCGACCACCGACCTGTTATCGCCATCATCGACATACAGTCGAGAAAACTGAACGAAGAAAAGAGGCAACAGGTTTTCTACGATGTGATTGCCGACATAGGTCCGCCAGATGCCACCATCATCGTACATTGCGAGGGCGGCCAATCGGCCAACGATGAAGGTGGCGTTTTTGATGACAACATGGTTATGATCCTCCTCGAGGAATTCGCTCAATTCGGAGAAACCATTTTAGTCAGATTCGTTGCCGATACCATGTGGATCACCTTTAGAGAAGGACAATCCGTTCTCGAAGCCCTTCAGAAGACCAAAGGAACAATTACGGTAATTATTATAATACCGTACCTTCATTTGCAAGCTAACCATAGGGAAAATACATTGTAACTGGACCAGATAAGTCGCAGTCAACACAAAGCGAGAACCTTTTCAGAAATGATTTGGATGCGTCGTCGAGACATGCGTACTAAAACAAATTTTATCAGATTTACACCGCACAAAATAAAAAAAACAATAATTAAGCATCGATGTATGAAGCAAGGTCAACTGTTACGGCGCATGCTAGCGTACTCGTCCACGCGTCCAAATCATTTCTACAACGTTTTTCGCTTCGTGCTGACTAAGACTTATCTGGTCCAGTTACAATGTATTTTCCCTATGGTTAGCTTGCAAATGAAGGTACGGTATACAAACAAGCTGTAAACAAAGTAATCGAACTCATTTCAGATCCAGGATTACGATTTAACTTTGAGCCTGAAAACGCCTCACTGGGTGGACCAGACAAAAGAAGAAATCGGCCTGTGTTCCAGCAACACGGTTCCGCTGTACATCTCTCCAAGTCAATCGGATTACAACTGCCTCGGAATACCGGATATGGGGCAAAAACAGCCGCCATCGAGACCGCCGGGCCCGCCGAGCAGGCCGCCCCCGCCGAGCGCCAAATCGCCGAAAAGAAACGTGCCAAGGGCGGGGGTGATAAGCCTGAGCGGCAGCAATAAACCCCCACCATCGCCGCCGATCAATTTACCGCCTCCGAGTATGCCGCCGCCGGATCTTCCCCAACAGCAAGAAGAATCGGTTTACGAGGAGATCAGTGATGACTACATGGCCCCGGAGCCTCAGGAACCTCCACCGCCTCCTCCAAGATCGGAACCTGCTGCAGCGATGCCGCCTGCCCCCTTAAGGGGGCCTCCCCCTGTTCCTGCTAGGTCTGCTCCACCTCCCCCTCTTCCTGCAAGACCCAGGCAATAATTACCGGGGAAAACATTTTAGAACTTACTGTATTGTTTGTTGTAGATAATCTGCATTTGCATTATTCATTGCCTTAGTCTGTGACTATAGTTTGGCTGTTATTAGATTAGATTTACGCGGGGAAAACTCAATTTCGATATTTATGCGAAAACTACAATTGTTCTTGATAAACAACTGAATTAACGCGAGAATAAAGACAATTAACTGCATTATCAAATTGTAACTCGGCGCTTCAGAAAAGTTCTTCAAAGTAATTCAGTTTGTAACATATCTTTATTCCGTTGTTTCTTAAAATAATTGTAACGTTTAATATTTAAATTTAGTTATCTCTGTAGTTTTCGCTTTAATTTTTTTATTCTTTAATATTTATTGTGTATAAATGGAATTCATCTTATTTACCAGTTCCTATTCTTTCGTCATTCCTTTGTATTTATAATTCTACTTAAGTAGGTATTCAGCGAATAACGTGTAATATATACTTACCTACCCACCCAATTAATTATCTATGCTTTATAAAAGTTAAAAATAAATGTTATTACTACTTAAGAGTGGGCAGGTCCCAAATATTTATGTTGAAAAAATATTGTTTCTATATCAAAGCATTTTGTAAAATTGTTAAATATTGTTATCTTGGATTTTAAATTTATTATTTTGGCATATATCAAATTGTATATTTATTGTTTATCCTTTTATAGGAATAAAGACTTAAGCATACTAAAATAGTTTTTTATTTATACAAAGTAAAACATTGTTGTTGCCCTAACAACAAAATCGATTTTCAGGTTTGTCTGGACAATTGAAGCTTTGACAATATACATTTATTTATACATATATCTTAAACATTTAGCTTCATATCGAAGCTAAATGCTTTGTGCACTAATACACCTCTGAGTTCCAAAAATTTAACTTTTTAAAAATAAAAAAATGGTAATGTAAAATAATAATTTTACCAGGCGACGGGCGTCAATTAAAATATACAAGTATGAGGAAAGCATGAAGTCGCAGAGGTAAGTAAGAAACATCCGCACAGTAGTTCAAAGTTAAAAAAATATTGGAAAAATTCGCACAGTAGCATAATGTAAAAAAATGGTAGGAAAAATTCGCACAGCAGGACAAATTTAAAAAATGGCAGGACAAATTCGCACAGTGGGATAAATTTAAAAAATGGTAGAAAAAAGTCGCACAGTAGTTTAAAATTAAACATTTTTTGTCCCCTCTGTCCCGTTGCTTTGTATTGCTACGAAAAGTGACAAAAAGAGTCAGTGAAGAATGCTAATGTCAAATCGGTAGTTGTCTAGTGCTTTTGTTAAAGAAAGAAGCTAGGTTTTAAAAAATCTTAAAATGTACATTTTATAATTTTTCTCTCCCACCACTTGGCAAAATTTATTTTTATCTTACTATAATTATATCTATATGTAAAGCCATTTAATTTGAGTAACTTCGTAATGATTAGAAGATTATACATCTTTAATAATTTAAAATGGCGTCTTTCAAAAATATTACCTTTTTAGTTTTATTTTTTACTTTAAATTATTTTTTAAATAAGTATTAAAAGTTTTTTACCTAAACCTTAAAAAGTTTGCAGACGAATAAAAATTTTGTATGATTATAAAGTGGTTTTAATATAGTAAAAATGACTTATGGGTAAAATTTAGTTAATGGTTAAAATATTTACGTTGAATTTTCCGTTAAAAATCCCTTACAATAAAATAACCTATAGGTAATTTTCTTTCGTAAAAATTACGTTAAATAAACATAATTAAAATACTTCAAAGTTGTGAACTTTTTTTTACTTCAGTGGCAGTTTTTAAGGTTAATTTAACGTAATATTTATTTAAATTAAGTAATAAATCCGAAAAGCTCGACTATTTTACTTCAAATGCTGCTTGGGTAAACATCACATAAGACTACTTTTATTAAATTTTATGTAGGTACTAAAAATTGTATAAATAAAACACATTTATTTTTTACAATGTTAGTTTTCCCGAGAAAAATGATTGTCTCGGTCAGATTAGAAGTCTATTTCAGCAATGACTGATCCTTTGCATTGTAAAAAGGTTGGAAATGGCTTTTTTGTCGCCGCCAAGTCGTAAAACTTTTATATAAAAATACCCAATACAAGGACATTTGTACTATTTAAATATAAGTTATCCTTTATCTTGTTGTTTTGAAAAATTTAATTTGTGGATTAATTATTTCAGAATAGTATATTCTGTAGCAAGTTTCAGACTAGACTTTTTCTGCGTTACCAAAAAATACCATAGAAAAATAATTTAATTGGGAGAAAGTGAGGTTGGATCGGTCTAAAAGTTGTTAAATAATACACAGAGATGGCGCCACCAGTGTTTATTCCCCACATACTTCCACACCACACATATACAGATCATTTTGGATTAATTCCTTTTCGTGGGGTTAAAGTAGGGGCTAGGTACTTATCCAGTTTTGCACATGCGTGGGGCCGTGTTGTCAGATATAATTATATTCTAATATTATTTTCGTTATTATAAAGCTTATAAAAATATGTTATATCGCAAAATTTATATAGAATTATATTAATTATGTTTTTTAGTATTAATAATAAAATGAAGTATTATTTTTTTAATTTTATAAAAATGTTTTTTAGCATTAGAACTTTGGCTACGTCTTATTTTATTACCCAAGGAATCTTTGCCAACATTTTGGTCACAGAACAAACCATTTTTAGTTTACTGTTTGGCTTTGTTTTTATAGTTTACTTTGTTGAGCTTTTACGATTTTTGGACCTTTTTTATTTCTGATTTGGAATGTTTTACATTGATATTTACGTAGATTGTACTCCTTAATTTAATTTAGAATAATTTTGTTCATTTAGGGTTAGGATTTTTTAGATTTTGATTAGGCTAGTGTTTGTGAACAAGTTTTATTATTAATAAACATTTTCTATTTTATTTAAACTATTCGAAACATTTAAATTATTCTAATAGTTTAAATATTCGATTTTAAATTTGAATCGAATATACCTAACCATTTGAATTAATTGAAGCAGCTTATGTTCTGTGAAACAGCATCCACACCCTCAGTATTATTAATCTCAATGAGATTATCTCATGGCCACTTAAATAATTATTACCAATACAATACAAATCCCATATAATTATCTCATTCCCATTTCTTGACCAAAAATATAATAACTTGTACAGCAAAACATTTCGCATTTTAAAACTAGTTTTCTTATATTTTTTTAATTTAAACTAAATTTCTAAACTGACATTTGTATTTATTCATAACCAACAAACATTATTGATTTTTTATCTCCCACTTTTGAGCTGCACGTGCGCAAAAGGTAGAGAGTAGCCAGCCTCCCCTTAAAAACGGGAACAAGGTCATCTATTCAAAATACAGGGAATAAGCGGTGTATGTGTGGTAAGTTCCACACATATACCTCGTATTCGCTATATTTTGTATAAATGACCTTGTTTCCTTTTTTAAGGGGAAATTTGTCGATTTGCCGTATTATTTTGCTTTATGCGCATAGTCAACAAATTATATATATATATATATTAGGGTGTTTCAAAAAAATCGACTTTTTCTTTTTCTTCAAATGGTCAGCAAATTCTTTCAGAGGATGTCAAAACAAAGACCTCGTTAAAATTTGAGCTTTTAATTTGAAGATTTAGAGGTCGCGGATCGCAATTTTCTATTTCCCATTTAAATAACATAGGAAATTTTTTTTTTAACTTTGGAATTTTATACGTCTATATCGAATCAACTTATGGCAAGGAACATCTTAAATTTTTATAGTAAATTTAACGCTCTATAAAAAATGTCTCCTATAATTTTTCTATAAATTGATTTCTTCCAGAGTTATTCGAGGCCAAAGTTTGATTTCCATCGAATTTTCTCGTTTTTTCAACTTTTAGCATCATGTAGTAAAAAAATCACATATTTATATCTGAAACATAGGAAGTGTTGTAAAAAAAAAAAAACAAAAAAACGTCACTTTTTTCCAAAGCCTACTACAAAGTTTTAATGAAAATATGAGATGTGTATAATATGCAAAGTAATTTATTTATAAATGCATTTTTCTCGAAAATGGTGCATCTGAGCAATTCAAATCAAGAGTACCTATTTTTCGTAAAAAACTATAAATTCTCATAATTTCATAAAAAAAATTATTAACCCAAAAAAAAGTTGGGGCTATTTTTGTAACTTTGCCCCCTCCAAATGTTACGCCTATGATTAAATTTTAACAGTTTTGATCATAGATCTAGATTCAGCATGTCAAAATTACCAAAGTACCTACCGAAAATTCATTTGTTCATGTTCAACCCTCTAGAAATAGTTTTAAAAAAATTATCCTCTTAGGCTCCTATTCAGGGGGCCGTAGCTCCTTAAGGGAGCATTTTTTGATACATGTTTATTAAACAAAAAAAGTGTTATTTTTATACGAATAATGCACTGTTTAAGTTTGGCCTCCTGATTTCGGGACACCCGTATAATGATAATTGTACTATAAATGTTAAAAAAACGCGAAAATTCGATGGAAATCAAACTTTGGCCTCGAATAACTCTGGAAGGAATCAATTTATAGAAAAATGATAGGAGACCTTTTTTATAGAGCGTTAAATTTACTATGAAAATCTAAGATGATCCTTGACATAAGTTGATTTGATTCAGACGTATACAATTTCAAAGTTAAAAAAAAAAATTCCCATGTTATTTAAATGGGAAATAGAAAATTGCGATCCGCGACCTCTAAATCTTCAAATTAAAAGCTCAAATTTTGACGAGGTCTTTGTGTTGACATCCTCTGAAAGAATTTGCCGACCATTTGAAGAAAAAGAAAAAGTCGATTTTTTTGAAACACCCTAATATATATTCCATAATATTCCTGTTATCTCCAGTTATAAAACTTGGGTTTTATGGTGTTACTAAAATAGGTAACGATAACCTTCATAAATCCCCCAAATAAGTTTTTAATGGGTATATAAGAGTGATATAACATTTATGGCAACCACTATAAATACAATTGGGAATTTATTAAACGGTCATATTCCGTAATAGGAGTAGAAAAAAATGTTTTTTTAATAAGCATGCAATTCTTAAGCTAAAAATAACGACTGAACTGAATAACAATACCTACTTACTGTACCTAGGCCTATGGGCATACTTAATGTATAAGAATAGACAAGGAACGCGCTCTTTAAATGTTTCCTTTTTCCGGCCTGGCCAAGAAAAAAAACATAGGAAAAATACCGTCCAGATTATATTTAGTAGTTACATGAAACTATCGCCTATATAGATATTTTCGTCGGTAGAAAAATGGGCTTTTTATTTTATTTCGTGTTACAGGAAATATAAATTAAAATTTTATAAAAATAGGATCCCTTTTTTCAGTCCACCTAGCCAAGTATTATGTATATATTTATGAGGAAGTCATGATTGTTTATTTTATTGAAAAAATATTAAAATTCAAGATAATTACGTATTCAACAAATGTTATTTTTTCATAAACCTGCCTGTTTATTATTTTCAATATTTACCAAGCCAATACGTAAGTATTTTATATTCTCGTTAAGTGTCGTTCAAAATGTATTATGTAAAGGCTGTAGTATTTATTTTAGCGTTTTTATTTTGCAGTACTGAATTTTAATTAATGTTTTTAAATAAATAATCAAACAAATACGGTACCTACACTTTGACACTGATTGAAGCGGGTTTTTATATTTACTTTTTATT